TGGGTCTACATAGATTTCGCAAGGAGGGTCGATGATAAAAAATGTATTGTTATAACCGTAAAGGCGCCATTCAGCTTATAGGCAAGCCGTTACGGTTATAACAATAAATTTTTTATTTAATATCATCGATCCTCCTTGCGAAATCTATGTAGACCCATGCTTGAACAATTTGTGCAAAAAAATACAGTTAAAAAACTATTTCGTGCGGCAGTGTAAATATTTAAAATACATCATTGACTACTCAAACATAATTTTACATTTTAAATTATCATTTTGTATTCGTTTACTCGCATCCACTAGGTATAAACGCATACGGCAGTGTAGTAGCTATTCGATGGCTAGACCGTGCGGCATTCAAATATGAAAAACTTTCCTTCTACATGTCGGGCCCACTCTAAATTTTTTTTTTATTCAAAGGTAACATAATAAACTTGGATTTTATGCTATTTAAAAAAAAATTAAAAAATACACATTGTTTTAAAAAATGCAAAATTTTGCAAAATTTCAAAAAAAATTTGAAATTTTTATTTTTTTGCAAAAACGGTATAGCCCATTGAAAAGTACGGAAAAAATCATTTAAGGAGGTTAAATTGATATATTTAATAAAGAGATGAACAGAAGTTATGAATTTTTAAATAAAAAGCGATTTCACCAAAAAGTGAAAAATCGATAAATTTCAATAATCAATAACTCTTGAATGAACAATCCTAGAGCAAAAAAAAATTATGCTATGATTCTTCGTTATAAGTACAACAAATAAGTAAAGTTTAAACAAAATCGGTGACAACAATTTTTTCACCTGGTACACTTGGTAAATTTTGCCCCATATGTACTTTACTTTACTTAATTGATATGTACATGTTGTGTACTTCCCTTAGACCATAAACCCATATCTATAATTTTCATAATAATTTTTTTGCCAAGTTTGCAAAAATGGTGAATGCCCCGGGTTATTACAAAACTTGTTAAAAAGTTATAATGTTAAATTTTTTTGGAACGGGTCAATTTACAATTTTTTAAATGACCTTCCAAGTCAAAATGCATTATTAAAGTTATAATAATAATAAAAAGTTACAAATTATAATAACCATTTCAGATGTGGGATATTTCAGCTTATCAAATACACAGTGTTGCCAAGATTTACTTGTATATCAATATAACAATATAATTGTATGTTAAAATTTTAATTTTTTTATGTAGGCAGATTTGAAACGTTTATAACATGTGGAAAGTAGTACTAATTTAAACATTAATTTTTTAAAATGAACTAATTCGTAAATTTCATTTTTTATATAAATATATTGGAACATAGAACCTATTTCTTAAAAGATATTCAAACCTATTATATCCACTTAATAAAATAAAATAGTAATAGGTACTCTAATGGGCGTACAACACTAACGCTTGTGGCAAAAATAAAAGAACAAAAAAATATTTGTTTTAATTAAAAAATAAATTATTTTATGCAAAAATTAAAAAGAAATGTTGTTTGCAAAAATCAAAAAATAAAAATTAAAAAGTCCAGAGTATTCAAAATATGATAATAACATTTTTGTTTGCAAAAATTTTGCGGATTTCTCAGGTTCTTGGAATTTTTGGAAAGATCAAAAATTCAAAATGACAAAAAGTTAAAATGTCAACAACTTGAAACTTTGAAATATCTCAGTTAGTATGCATTTTACGAAAAAATGTTTAAAATAAAAATTAAATGAATCGGTACTAAAACTGGTACTCATACTCTCCTCCTTATAGGGGGAACAGGGCGTAACTTTAAAATTTACAATGGAAACCCTATTTTTTATTGCAGATTCGGATCATTCGACTAAAAATAGGTAGATTTTGCCTAAATATTTTTTCATATTTCGACCATTTCAAGCGGATGGACGGGACAAATCACAAAACTGTTTTTATAAAAAAAATTGTAGGTAATTTATTATGTATTATATTTGCATCAAAATTGTCAAATATGTTCTTCTATTATTAGGGTATACATTAAATAAAAAAAATCGCAAGAAATATTTTATAAAAGTGGAGATAATTTCCATAACTGACAGGGGTGGACGGGACAAGATAAATCTTTTTTTTGTCCCGTCCACACCTTTCAATTATTAAAATTATATCTACTTTCATAAAATATTTCTTGCGTTTTTTTAATTTAATGTGTAACCTAATAAAAGAAGAATATTTTTTACAATTTTGATGCCAAAATATTATATAATAAATAATCTACAATTTTTTTTATAAAAACAGATTTGTAATTCGGGCGTTTCGCGCGCTTGAAATGGCCGATTTGTCATAGATGAATAAAATAATTTTTGAATAAAATACCTAATTGGTTTTATTTTTTAAATTTATTTATTTATTTCGTTTTAATATTCTGCTAACACTGCTCTGGGATATTCGCAAATCTCTAGATAATTCTCGTGTTCTTGCATGTTGCTCGAAGAACTCTTTTTTTCTGTTGAAGTAAACTGCTTGACTGTACGGTGAAATGAAGTAGGTACATGATCGAAATTTTTCCGGAAAACGCTGAGCGTAGATATTAACAGCATCATCAAGATTCCTGCCTGCTTCTCCATAAATCATTTCTATTTTTTCTTTCATTGTTAAAAATCCATTATGAATAACTGCTTAACGAAAGGAGGTCTTTTTGTTTGCAAATTAATCTTCGAACTAATTGATTAAATAATGCTAAACTATGTATAAATAGTTTCTTTATACCTCAAGAATAATTATTATTTATAGCTAAATACCATTTTTTATACCTTAATTAGGCTTAAATTAATTAATTGACAAAATAATGTTTTTTTACATTAAATGAGGTATTTTTATTAAAAATAGTACAATATTCCTTTAAATTAAAGGATTTAATGCTGGCAGGTAAAAAGTGACCATGGTGCGCAATTGATAATTATCACCGAATGAAATAATGTATAAAACAAACCAAAGGAAACTTAAATATTAGTTAAAAAACTGTGGGTACTTAAAAAAAATTAAATTTAATTTAATAAGATAATTATTACCAAAAAAGTGATATTTTTAAAGAAAAATATTGCAGAATCGTATAAGAAGAAACATCGAACAAAATTGATTTTTTTCATTACAGCGCCATCTATTAAAAAAATGAAAAAATGTTTTATACAAAATCTACCTATTTTTAGTCGAATGATCCGAATCTGCAATAAAAATTTTAAAGTTACTCCCTGTTCCCCCTATATAGTACTGATTGATTTCCCTCCTCGAATCATTTAATTTTTATTTTAAAAATTTTTTCGAAAAATGCATACTAACTGAGATATTTCAAAGTTTCAAGTTAAATGACTCACCCTGTATACATTATATATATTAATATTCCTAGTATTATAATTATGTTTCAGATTAGATAATTACCTAATCTGAAACATAATAAGCTTAAAATGGACCCTTATCAAATGATGTAATTAAAAAATAATTGCATAGGTACTTTGGATTTTCCTAAAATTGATCTGTGCATTGTTTTGTAATAACTAATTATTATGTTAACAATTTTAGGACTTCAAAGAATTGATATCTCGGAAATAAATTAGTAACGTTTTCCTCATAAACGGATAAAATTGTAATTCTTTCAAACTTATATATGTTTACGTACAGGGCCGGATTAACCCTTTCGCCTGGGGCTAAAAATAATAATATTCAAAGTAGATTAGATCTTTCTTTTAAAAATAGTAAATACATGTAGAAAAAGAAAAATTCCGAAGACAAACTCAGTTTTCAAAAAGGCGAACAAAAAACAACAAAAATATAACTCTTAAAGTCCACTCTTTATTTATGTTATCAAAAAAATGTGTTTTATATCATACAGCGTGCTCAAAAATTAACAAAATATGGACATTTCTAAATTAAGTACTTTTTAAAAAAGTAAAAATAAATATTAACATTGTTTTTAGAAACAATTAATGATATTATTTAATTCATTCTACATTTCTTATTAATATTTTTTTAAATTTAATAATAAAAATATAGTATAAAATTATAGTTTGCATTTTTCATGTTTTATTTTTTTTTTGAACGTATAATATATTTTTGTATATTAAATTGTTCGTGTACAACTACAGTTCTTCTCAACTTTATTAGCTTACCTCATGCAAATATAACTACCTAATCAAAGAATGTGATATCCATAAATAAAACGTTCATTTTTCGAAATTCTAAAACAATACTAGCAGTCAAAGGATTGTTTTGGAAGTGTGCCGGGAAGCCGCAGCTGCCTGACACACTTCGATCAATCGTCGACTAGTCGCTATAGCTATATAATAATAGAATAAATCTTCATTTGATAAGTACCGATCGAGTCGATCGGATCGACTACTGTCGGACGTTAACGAGATGTTTTTTGATAAAAAATATTTTAGTTTTTTTATTTTTTCTAGGTATTATAATGTGTATTTTTAATCTGGTTTTAAATACTAAGGTGTCAGAGGCCCTTTGCATGGCCATGGCTATGCATAGCCCCCAAAGCCCCCTCTGAATCCAGTGCTGTACACGTATTTTTATTTTCCGCGTGTAAACAACATTTTATTGCAAATATTTTACAGTTTATCGCATTAACATTGTGAAATTATAACTTAAAAAAAAATCATTTTTATGCGTAGATACCTTCGAAAACTTTTAAAAAATAAGTCATCAAAAGTGTTGAAATATTCGTGGATTATTGTTTAAATAACAATTGTTTAAAACTTATTAGTATTTTATAAACTATGGCTACAATGCATAAATATTAAACTGATTTGACCTCGACATTTTTTCCTTAAGAACGCATAATAGTTTTACTTCAATTGTAATTGAATTTAAATTGGCACTAAAAAAGTAAAATAATATTTCAACTTACGTTAAATTAGATGTGATATCACGCAGCATTAATTAATCTAGCATGACACAGCTTCATTTTCTCTGCATGCACACATAAAATAACAAAACAAAACAATGAAACCCAGGCAAACAGATCAAAACAAAGCACCTACCCAGAAACTCGCGAGCGTACCTACTTAAGCAAGACCGCGGATTAACCTTGTTTTAACTTCCTATACTATTGACAATTTAAAAATCCGCTGCATTTCGACACACTTTTGGTACCAAAACGTACACATACACGAATTACTGCATTGTGTTTAATTTGTTTCGTTATTTCCAACAACACATAGTTAAGTGGGACGGTTAATTTATTATTTAGGCTCTTTACTGACTTTAATTAAGGAAACGCAAGAACCCACTGAATGCAACGAATAGCACAGAGAAATTTAATTTATTATGAATGATTCATAATATATTCATAATATACATCGCTATAAGTATATGAATTTCATATACTTATAGCGATGTAAAAATGAAAGTTAATAGGTAATTGTAGCATTTTTATAATCTAGGTTTACCTATGACTATTTTTTCAATTACAAATCAACATAAAATTATGGGGATAAATACCTGTTTTCCTTATCTTAACAAACACAATAGTGCACTTTTTTCATTTCATCGTATTTAAGGTCTGCCTAAATATTTGTTGGACAATTTACAGCTATCCTGATAACTTATCACTGATATGTCAGGATCTTATCAGTGATAAGATACATTTTAAGAGATGGATCACAAGAATACCTATTTAAAATGAATATAGAAACAAATAAATCAAGAAAAGTTTTCTAGAAAACTACGACAAAATGACATTTAATGTAAATTTTATATTAATGACATTTGACAGTTCGGCCAATGGTCTTTTTCAAAGGTTCTTCAAGAACTTATGTTCTGTGCAAGAACTGTTCTGGTCTTTGTACACTTTCCACCTACCTCATGATACCTAAATCATGTATTTATTAAATACTATTTAATAATAATAATATTTTGAATTTATCTATTTGACAGAAAAGACATTTTTGACATTTTGCAATAATTATTAAGTAGGTATTAATTAATTTAAATTATAATAAAAGGTAAATATTAAATTAATTTTAAATTTTAAGTATAATTTAATAATAATTAAAATAATTATTTAAATTATAATTTAAATAACCTTTTATTTAAAGCTAGCGAATACACACACTATTTTTTACATTAGTTTTTAGAAGATTTATTTATTTAGTACTTTAATATCTAATTTATTTCCCAAGTCAAAAAACCAGACATAAGGGCGCCTCTTACCAAGTCTACATTGGATTTATTTTATTAAATTATAATAATATTATACATCTTAAAGAAATAGTTAACACACGAAATTATCTTCAAAATAAAGTTTTTTTATGTTAAATATAACTAAATACCTAAGTGATTTTTATACCCACCCAACTTTATATATAATAAATATAATTCAGTATTTTCTCAATAAAAACCTATTACGTATAAAACTTATTAAAAGGAAAAACAACTGACTTACCCTTTCACAATAAAATTAAAACAAATAATTATTTTTTTCTCACAAACAGATGTAGGTACACAAAAACAAAATTGAAGCGATGTCTGCTGCCGACTTGCCAACTTGCTTCGACTAAATGTCCAATGCAGACAAAAATAAACGCAAATACTTAGTTTCGAAGTTAGATAAAGAAGAAGACACGAATTAGGATTTGTGTTTGGAATTTACTGCTTTATTATAAATAAACGAGCGAGTTTAAAGCCGCAGTGAGTCGAGCTATTTTAAAATGCAATATCGAAATTCCACAATTGAAATTTGCCTCCATTGCGTTAGTTCGCCGCAACGACAGCAGATGGTTCTGAAATCGATTTCCTTTTCGCGTAGATGAAGTAGCGTAAGCGTGGCTAATCAAGGTACAAAAAGGTAAATTACTGAATTTCTAGCGTTTTTACGTTCAATAAAGAGTTAATATTGAGTTTGTTGAACAGTTTGAATAGTGTTTGTTCGGTAGAACGTATAAATTTTGACATATTGACGGTGCAAATGTCAATAAACTTGAACTAAACATAGGGTTGTACACCCATCTTTCCAGCAAATTTGTTGTTTTATTTGTTAATAAAATTTATTTTCAGAAAAATGAGCAGCTCAGAGGAGGTATCATGGATTTCTTGGTTTTGTGGACTTCGTGGAAATGAGTTTTTTTGCGAGGTAAGTGAAATCTTTAACAAAATTTATACGGTTCTATGCCTAACTGCTGTATTTTTAGGTGGATGAGGATTACATACAGGACAAATTTAATTTGACGGGTCTAAATGAACAAGTGCCGCATTATAGACAAGCTTTGGATATGATATTAGATTTAGAACCAGGTTAGTTTACTTTACAGTTTATTTTTTAATTAATTATCAAGGTTATTCGTACACAAATTACTCATAACTAAACTTTTATATAACTTAATGCTTTAATGCATCTCGAATTATTTTGTATTTATGTATTAAGATATATTTGCTCTTTATAAAATTTGTTTGTAGATTTATATTATTGTTAAAAAACTGAGAAAGTACAGGGCAAAACATTAATCTTGAATAAGTGCTGAACGATGTGTTTTTATTTGGGTCTCTCATAGTATTTTTGGCCTGTTTGTAGATTCGGTACTAACTAACTAGTGCAGGGCAATAAATATATCTTTTCGTTAAAGTAGTATCATGCCCTTTTTTAGATGCAATATTTAAAAATCTAAAAATAGTGAAACCTGCATTTGGATACATAATAATTTCTTTTTTTTTAATGTTTCATTTTGTGTCCTAAAAATTATAATTTGTGACTAGGTACTCTTTTATACTGTGGTATTTTCATTTACCAGGCTTCGCACCCAAAAGTCACCTTGACATTTGAATACAAATAATTAAGGTTATCTATCTGTCAGTTTTCGCTAATTTCATTTTATTTTCTGGAAATAATACAATATACAGGATGAACCAGAAGTCACACACCACCTTGAGTATGAACATAGTCACATGGTGGGACTTCGAGGTGTGGAACATAGAATAATAACCTCTGGGTACATATTTTTTTAAATGGCAACATTGACTAATAATTTTTAATAATCATGGCAACAATATTAACAAGAATATTAACAATATTAAAGTGTCATGAATGAATTGACCAACTTTTTACTGCAAGTTAGAGTTTATACAGAAGCAAATACTTCCTGTCCCTGTCAGGAACTAATAAAACAATATATTAAATGTATGAAGAAAAATTAAACAAATATTAGATTACTGCCCTCGGTGGTGTAGTAGTCAACACTGCAGACTACAAGTCCCGAAGTTGTGGGTTCAAATCCCATGGCTGTTTATTTGTGCTTGTCAGTGTCTACTCCTGAAATTAGGCCAGGTGCCCGTTATAAGCACATTAAAATAATAAATAAATTACATTGAAACCAGGGACCCGGACCGAAACCGAAAAAAACCGAAAACCGGAACGGAACCGGTTTTTTTTCCGAACCGAAACCCGAACCGGAACCGTTTTCGCTTTTGATAAAATCTGTTGGACCGGAACCGAAACCTTTATTTGCTTTCATTCTAATAACATTATATAACATATTACGTTATAGATTAAAATTACGTAAAACAAATAACCTCACTGGAACCGCTTAAAACCGAAAAGAACCGAACCGTTATAACTCCACGAAACCGAAACCGGAATCGGAACCATTAAAACGAAAATAGGGTGAACCAAAACCGTACCGGAACCGATATTTCATTTCGGTCCGGGTCCCTGATTGAAACACAAATGACTTGCATATAAGCATTTTCCAAACACAAGATACATATGAAAATATATGTCAATATTTAACAGAAATGCTATAACAATCTAGTTTTGAATTTTAACTGTCAATCATTGTCTATGGTGTATCCACAGACCTAGGTCTGTGGGTGTATCGCATATTTTAACCAATTAATTGTTGTTATAATCAATTGTTGCACATATTGTTGCCAAATGCATGCATTTTGTTAAAAAACCTAGAATGCATTTTCTCAAGACTCCTAATGAAACCATTGTGTACATTATGTACATTAGTCCTTAATAATTATAGAATTTGTTTTAACAATTATCTGTTTCCTGGGGGTCTGTATATAATGCACCTGCAAGATGGTTTGCAACTTTTGGTGCACCCTGTTTGTATTGTTTGCCTTTTAAAGTAAGACTTTTATGCACAAAAAATACCTAAATTGTATTATTTTCATAAAATAACACGAAATTAGCATTAAACTGGTTTTGCAAAACATGTTTTAAAATATTGTCAGTTCCTATCAACATTTGTATAGTATTTTATGATTTAAGTTATGAGTGTAATTAATCTAGATAAGTTGCACAAGTTGCATACTATACTTTATCTACGACGAACACAATTTTATTTGTTAAATTTTGACATCTGTCAACCCGAATTTAACCTCACTTTTTCCAATTTATAATAAAGCTAACTTCAGCCCGTGACTAATATGCTATAGTCATATTATAAGATACCATAAAGTCATATAGGTAGTCATCAAGTTTTATAAATGCCATTTTAGTTTCGAGTTTTATTAGGCACGAGCGAAGCTTGTATCAAGTTTTATAAATGCCATTTTAGTTACGAGTTTTATTAGGCATGAGCGAAGCTTGCAAGCGAGTGTTTAATAAAAACAAGTGTCTAAAGAAGTTTATAAAACTAGTTGCATACTATACTTTATCTATAACAAACACAAAATAGAATTTATAGCCAATTTTATTTGTTAAAAATTTGAAATCTGTCAACTGTCACCCGAATTTAACCTCACTTTTTCCCAATTTACAATAAAGTTGTTCCAAACTTAAATTTAAAATAATACTTTTATCATAATATTAATAATAATTATTGTCAACACATTGGTAAAAAAAAAAACAAAAAAAAATTTAACACACAGTACCAACTTTCAAACAAAGCATTTGCGGACCCATCTCGATAGAAATCACCACACGATGGCACATGTTTTTTTAAACACCCTGTATATGAAATAGGATTTGCGAATATTTGCATTTCGCTATTCGCATATACGAGCATCTATATTAAACAGGCTTAAGTTAAAAAAAACTTTTTAACTCTGTTTACTGTTATATTGCACATCTAAAAACTAATAATCGATGCATCTGCAACGATCTGAAATAAGCATGGTTGACAAGCGTATTTCTGACAGTTTTGTCAAAAATATTTAAACATTAAATTATCATAACCTTGTTTTTTTACTCCTATTATTGACATTATTTGGGTTTTTTTCGTAAATAACGGCCTAACAACGTGAATAATGAACTCATTATTCACGTTGTTGGGCATCAGTGATGAAATTTTCAATATTCACTGTTATTTGAACCAATCGGGTTTTAAATTGGGGAAAACTAGTTAAGTTAACAGATATCGGATTTGTTTATATGAGGGGCGACTATAATGATCTTTAAAATGGGGGAAAAGTGAGGTTATAATAAATTTTGTTCTTAATGAAAATTACTTAATTGGAGTAGAAAAAGCATAGTATTACACTCGAAATAATGCGCATTATTTATTTGGATGAATTACGTCTCTCGCCTAACGGCTTGAGACGCAAACCTCATCCTTGTGAATAATAGCCTGCATTATTTCTCGTATAATAATATACTATTAAATTTCATTTTTTGACTTAAAAAGGGCTTTATACTTAAAATACCCCTTCCTATACCGCAGGGCTCCCACACCTCCTAAAACTCATAAAATTCCTAAAATTTGGCTTAAATCTTGAAAACTCCTAAAATTGCATTCAATCTTCTAAAACTCCTAAAATCCTAAAAATTAAATTTAAATAGGCCAACCTGACTGCGTTTAATTAATGTAGTTGTCGCGCTAAAAAATTCTTTTTTAAAAAGTAATTTAAAAATATATATTTTCAGGTTCTATTTTATTAAATTCTTTTTAAAATGATATATCACAACCAAAATTTTTTTTTAAAAAGCAACAAAAAAAACTTCTATAAAATTGTCATTTTTAGCCATATTTCGTTTGTTTTAGACAAAAATATACCGTGTTATATATCAAACAAAAGGATTTTTAATTTTCTTTTAAATGACAGCTAAAATAGTAAACAATCTAAAGAATGTTTTGCTGTATTTTGCAAACTTCATATTTTGTTATGAGATTTTTAAGTATTAAGATCCACATTACAATTGAATCGACGAGAATAAGAACATTACAAGTCCACAAATTTAATTTTGACAATTTATTTTCTAAAATTAATTTTAAAATTTAAAATACATTTTTGTGAGAAGATATAAATTATTTTACAGAGTATGAATATTATATTTCATAATATAGTTAAAATATTTTAATAAAAGTGCATTTTACTTTTGGACTTGTACTATTCTTAATCTTACCGATTCAATTACTGTTACTTATTAACTAAACATCATTTGATTTTGGCCTAGTTTTTAAGCCAAATCTATCGACGCATTTTTTTAAATAAAATTAAAAGTGTGCTGAAATTTATACTTGTATATATGTGTACCTCAGATATATACAAAAGTAGTAATTTTACCTCACTTTTAATTTTATTAAAAAAAACTCGTCGAGCGATTTGGCTAAAAAACTAGTCAATATAACTTTTTTCTTATTTTTTAAGTAGTAAAGAGTTGTTTTTATTTAATTAAAGAAATTCATTTCCACACTTTATTTCTCCTAAAATTTTACAAAAAACCTCCTAAATTCCTAAATAAAATTTGTAATTTAGCTGTGGGAGCCCTGATACCGGTAGTGCGCCATTTTCTGGACACCCTGTGTAATAAGAATTTTTTATATATTATGAAAAAAAATTAAATTTTTAGATTGTGTGTTATAATTTTAGATGATGAGTTAGATGACAACCCAAACCAATCCGACTTGATCGAACAAGCCGCGGAAATGTTATACGGTTTAATCCATGCCCGATATATTCTAACAAATCGTGGAATTGCTCAAATGATAGAAAAATATCAGACTGGCGATTTCGGATTTTGTCCAAGAGTTTACTGCGAGTCGCAGGCGATGTTGCCGCTTGGGCTGTCCGATGTTCCTGGCGAAGCAATGGTCAAATCGTACTGTCCAAAATGTATGGACGTTTATACGCCAAAATCTTCGAGACACCACCACACAGACGGTGCGTATTTCGGCACCGGTTTTCCACACATGTTGTTCATGGTGCACCCCGAGTACCGGCCAAAACGCCCCACCAATCAGTTCGTTCCTAGGCTATTTGGCTTCAAAATTCATCCATTGGCATATCAATTGCAACAGCAGGCTGCGTCTACATTCAAAACACCATTGAGAACTTTGAATTTTAACAATGGAAAACGCTAATATTTTTTAAAATTATAACCAAGAGAATAAAGTATGTTAGTTAATGTGTTGATGGAATTTTTTTTAAAAGTGATACTTTCTTATGGACTTGAGTTTAACTTATGAATACCAAAAATATGATTTTCTGTTGTTGTTGTTTCCGGTATTGTTATTTTCTTTCTACTACCTACTACAAGTGTTTTTTTATTCCATCAAGTAACATTTACCAATGGTATAGAAAAATTAAAGTGCAGTATAACTATGTCTATACTGATTGTAAAATAAAAGTAACTTCCCTTAACTCTAAATAAGAGAGATTGGGTACAATAAATAAATTTCTTTTTTAATAGCTATTTGTAGGTTAATTATTTATGTTACATGCTATATTGTTCATATATAATTTTAATATGTAAAATACAAATTATTAATAAAACGCATGACTATTTATTTATGAAAGCATTGTATTCATTTTATGTAACACAAACCTACCCTTATCTCCTAATTTAAAAACACATTTTTGGTATTAATAATTCTGTACTTGGAATTCTTGATTGCGACATTTTGTCGTAGGTACATCAGGTTACCTACACTGATTTCAAAATAAAGTCGTTAGATGCAGGGGCGTAACTAGGCATGTGGGGGCCCCGGGGCAAGGAATTGAATTGGGGCGCATGGATAAAATTGAAAAAAAAACTGTTTAAAATAACATAAAAACATGTTTTTTTTCGTTATTTTAATCTTTTTTTTAACAAAATAATGAGTAAAATTGTGTACAGGTAATAATAGGTATTTTTTTAAACTTCATGGGTTGACATCATCTAAAATTGTTTTCAGGCGCGTGAAACGCACGAATTACAAAACTGTTTTTATAAAAAAAATTGTAGATAATTTTTTATATAATATTTTGGCATCAAAATTGTCAAAAAATATTCTTCTTTTATTAAGCTATACATTAAATAAAAAAAACGCAAAAATATTTTATAAAAGTAGAGATAATTTTAATTATTGAAAGGTGTGGACGGGACAAAAAAAAGATTTCTCTTGTCTCGTCCACACCTGTCAATTATTAAAGTTATCTCTACTACTACTCTAAATATTTTTTGCGTTTTTTTTAATTTAATGTATAGCTTAATAAAAGAAAAATATTTTTGACAATTTTGGTGCCAAAATATTATATTATATAATAAATCACCTACAATTTTTTTTATAAAAACAGTTTTGTGATTTGTCCCGTCCGCATGCCTAAAATGGCCCTTAATCACTGATGGCTAATAACTATAGAATACTTTTTTATTTTAAGAAATCAGGATTATGAATAATATAATGGATTTTTTCTGCTGCCTGAGGATTTTATTTTTTGCTGTAATTAGAGTATCTTCAGGATAGTAAAAAAGTAAGAAAAAACTTTTTTTTAATTGTTTTTCCACATTTTTAGGATTTGTTCTAATTTTTTTATTATAAGTGGTTGGGTCTCAGGTTAAAAATTAATTTAAAAACCTGAATTTTTGGGAGTACCTTTGGGATAAATTTTTTAATAATAAAGCTAATAAAGTCAATATTGACTTTATTAGCACATCTTTTTTTAAAATATTAAATAATTTTTTTTTTTTTTTGAAAGGGCGAGTATGGGCATGTTGTGACCTGGTTTTTTATTTTAGAAAGTTGGTCACCTTAATTTAGTAGAGTATCAGTACAGTTGGACATCTAAATAAAAGGGGTATAAAAACTCTGACTAAAAAACAAAACAAAATTTATTGTGAAAGTTAAAAAACTCAATAGGTATTTAAAGTCTTATATTTACTGTAGTTTCACTAACTGTTTCTCCACCATCCAAAATATCAACCATATTATCTTCTACAAGCCCATTTTCATCTGCGGCCGCTAGAATATCACAAATAAGCGGCGATTCAACCCCCAAAATGTATTCACAATATCTGGGCTCCAATAAATACAAAGAAACAGCACTTGGGCTGGTATTCTCCAAACACTTTAATTTGACTTCGGTTTGCCTAGGCTTTCCAGTTTTATCACAGACATCCCCATCTGAATAAAAATGGGAAAGTTGCTTACGTTCCCCCTTGGGCTTTGGGCGTTTTTGCGGATGGGTTTTAATCCAATCCAAATGGGTTTCTTTGTTGAATCTACCCAGTTTGATAGCGGTTTTTTTGAAGTCTTTATCTACATGGTATTGCTCCACTGATTTTCCATAGCAAAATTCATATTTCCACCAACCAGTACCGCCATTTAAACAGTTTTTACCAGTTAAAAAGCTCTTTACAGGTGATGGGTCCAAATTTGGTTTTTTAGCTGGAGGTTTAATGGAATCTTTGATATCTATAATCTCAACTTTAATTCTATCAAAATCAGAGTTTCTTCTTAATTTTAAACTATCTATTTTCATTTTCATAAGGCTATAGGGTTTATCTGGGGCGCCCTCTAAAGGCATACAGTTTATTTTATTTTCACCAGTTTCTTTGGGTTTATATTTTGGATGACTGCATAAGAACGGTGATAAAATAATAATCTCATACTGACAAGTTGATGTTTCTTTTAGGGAGTAAACCTCGTTTTTACCATGAACATAACAAACATACAAAACCTTTGTGGATCTGGGCTTGTTATAATTTAAATCACATAAAGTACCATTTTCCATACTGACTTCCAAGTAAGGTAAATTAATATTATCAATTTTCTTTAAAGGAATCTGGTGGCTTTTATCTTGCTCCTCTGCTTTAACTTTCTCCAAAATCCTATCATAAGTCTTTTCCTCCCATTGCCCCAACTTATATTCTTGCAATTTAACCTTTTTACCCTCCCGATCTTCATGGTACTGCCTTATAAATCTCCCATGACAAACCTCATACGTCCAGTAAGTCTCAAACCTATATGAACAAGTGGATTGTGTAAAGAGTGGTGAGATTAAGTCTAGTGCTGTAGGACCATCATATTTTTCATCGGCTTGCGATTCTTTTTCTTGTATTGAAGGCAAAATGCATCGATATTTTTCTTGATGTGCTGAGGTGACGATTATTTCTTCGTTTTTCCCTAATTCTTCATCCACATTATTGCCAGGCCAAAATATATCGAACAATACGGTATCGTCGAAGCCTTTTACGTCTTGTTGTGCATTTGCAATTAATGCCGAACAAAGCACACTAACCACGGTAAATTTATCCATTTCAGTCCATTAATTTAACGTTTTCTTGCATTTTATTCCCATAAACATCTAAATATTTATATTTGACGTAGAACTTGGCGATTGGATTGATGATCAATCATTGATCAAGTGACAAGTTGTCAGTGACAACATATGTCAAAATTCAGTACTACCAATGTTTATTAAACATTGTTTAATCTGGGGGAAAACTTATAGCTAATTAATAATTTTTGCCTTTGTTTATTATTTTTAATAAATTATTACCATATTTATTTAAAAAAAAAAAAATTTTTTTATTAATTTCCAAATTTTGGTAAATTAAATGTTAAATAAAATATTTATATCCAAAACTAACTAACTTAGTACCTTTAACAAAGTAGATTGTCAACCCTGCAGTTGTAGGGTCGATTTATTCTAGGTTATGTTATTTGTTGTGTGCTTTTTTCTTGTGTCTAAAAGCGTGTAATTAAAAAAAAATAGCATTAAAATGTCGAAAAAAATTCACATACGTCTTGCAAATCATAGAGTAAATTCTTCGGTGGCTGTATATTCCAGAGTACCAAAAATATTCACGCCTGGAGAAATAATAACGCCACAAAATGAGTTTATGAGGTAATTTTTTATAATTTTAAAGTGTTTTATAATTAAAATGATTGCTTTAGAGGTCATGGTACTTATGAAGAGGACGGCAATTTGAAATCATCTGTAGCAGGGGTTAGGGAACAAGTCAACAATTTAATATCAATAAGGCCACTAAAAAGCAGATACAATGGTGAAGTAGGGGACGTTGTGGTAGGAAGAATCACAGAGGTTCAACAAAAAAGATGGAAAATTGATACCAATTCTAGATTGGACTCTGTTTTGTTACTGTCTTCAGTTAATTTACCTGGTGGAGAATTGGTAATATGTAATTTCTTTATTAATAGTTATTTACCAAAAAAAATATGTCCTTTTAAATACCGTAAACATGGGTGGCTCTAGCTCACTTTCAAACTTAAGCTTAAAATTTGTATGGTTTTAACAATCATAAACGTTAAATATTGTATACCAAAATTTGAATCTTGAGTTGCTCTTTCATAATAACTATGTTATAATATTACATAGGGCTGAGTTTCAAAAATAAAAATTAAAAACTGGGTGTGCAAAGTTACCCCTTTGTCTTACAGTGTATTTTCCATATAAAATTAACTCAATATTTTATTTTTATTAGACACCTGTTAGCAGCAACATATATCTAGGTATTGCAAGGGATTACTGATAAAAAAAATAAAAAATCGAACTGTAGTTAACCAAGGATCATCATTCCAAAAGATTGCGCATACTATAGAAATTGTAACGCGTGTATTTCTAAGAGGTTTGCACTGATGCGATATATACAATTTTAAAGTGTAATAAATCCCATTTCTTTTTTTAAAACACTGATTTTCCTGTAATATAAACTCAATAGAATCGCTCAATTGACAGGTTTAGACCAACAAATTATAAATGTTAATTTTATCGAGCGCGAAAAGATTTTTCATAAATGGGTTAAAGTCACCCGCGGGGTGCAAAGTCACCAGTGTTTACGGTACCTAGTTTTTCAATTATTTATTAAAGTTTAAAAAGTTTACTTCTTCTTCTTCCTTGGTGGCCTAGGGCCTTAATGGTCCCTTCACGAAGCCATCCACCCATAGACACGTGAATTTTCCAAATCTTGGATCATCCACTCAATGTATTGTGCAAATCACAAAATACCTCGCTAGAAGGTCAAAGCTTGCGATATTGTCCAAAAATACAGGTATATTCAATTTTGTCCCTCCTGGGTCAAAGTCAGCTATGCGGCCATTTCAAGCGCGCAAAACGCACAAATTACAAAACTGTTTTTATAAAAAAAATTGTAGATTATTTATTATATAATATTTTGGCATAAAAATTGTCAAAAATATTCTTCTTTTATTAGGTTATACATTAAACTAAAAAAACGCAAGAAATATTTTATGAAAGTAGATATAATTTTAATAATTGAAAGGTGTGGACGGGACAAAAAAAAGGTTTATCTTGTCCCGTCCACCCCTGTCAATTATTGAAATTATCTCTACTTTTATAAAATATTTCTTGCGATTTTTTTATTTAATGTATAGCCTAATAATAGAAGAATATATTTGACAATTTTGATGCAAAAATAATATATAATAAATTACCTACAATTTTTTTTATAAAAACAGTTTTGTGATTTGTCCCGTCCATCCGCTTGAAATGGCCGTATGTTTCATACTTTTCATCGAGCAAAGTCCCAGAGATAAAAGTGCGATGCACCACACATGAAAGACAAAACTGATTTAAATCACGATTTTTTTATTTTAATCATTAATTTAAATCAGTTTTAAAAAAAGTTTCTAAAATCTAAAAAAACACTTAAAAGATCTAAAACTAAAGCACAATATCCATATTGTGTTTGTTAAATAATATAATAAAGAATTATACAAAAAAATACACAGTTGCGGACGGTGGTTTATTTGTTTATAAAGTAGTGCCAATATAATATTATAATAACTATAGTTATTTTTAGTATTTTTTTAATAGTACACTTTATTAAAAAAAGCTTATAATTTTGAATATCGTAATAAAAATCAGTTTTTGTTTGACAATAATAAAAGTGGACAAATTTATTTTTTAGAGGAGAAGATCTGTGGAAGATGAACATATGATGAGGCAGTATTTGCAAGAAGGTGATTTAATTAGTGCTGAAGTACAGAGTGTTTATTCCGATGGATCTCTTTCTTTACACACAAGAAGTTTAAAATATGGAAAGGTACTTTTTTAATAAATTTTTATAAAATTAAGATTTAATAGAGATTATTTTTTAGTTAGGCCAAGGGGTTCTACTAAAAGTCTTCCCATCCCTTGTAAAAAGAAGCAAGACCCATTTTCATAATCTCCCAGTAGGCGCTAGTGTCATCTTGGGTAATAACGGATTTATCTGGATTTGCCCCACAATCGTAAACAGTGAAGACAGTGTGGGAGGTTTCATACAAAATTTGGAAGAAGTGATACCAAGGCAACAAAGGGAAACCATTGCAAGGCTGAGAAACTGCATTTTGTCCCTAACACAGAGTAAAATGTTAGTGTTTGATACCAGTATTTTGTATGCTTACGAAGAGTCATTGAAATATGAGATTTGTGAATTATTACAGCCTGAAGCCATGGTAGATGTGGCATTGTTAACGCAACAAAGGCTTTGTATGCTTGAGGAATAAAGGTTTACTTTTTATTATCTTTTATAATTTCCTTTAATTATATTATTAAACCAGAATTTATAGAATAATACCTACACTTATTTTATTTAAATTTATTTAAAAATATACAACCACTATTTGTTTTGTAAAAATATAAAAAAATATATAATATTTAAGTAACAAATTTACAAATATTATATTAATTGGAAAGCTTCATACCATTTATAAGGTTAAATAAATATTTTTTTAAGTAATTGTTACATTTGCAAATTTCTAACATCAAAACCATATTTAAGAATGCCAACACAATCAAAAATGCAAACACTTTTTGTTATATGGAAAAAACATTTAAAAAGGATAAAAACAATTTTAGAAATAATACATATAGGGCATTTTAGGGGAATTTTTACTTGGTTGGGATGAAAAATAAAATAACTTTTCAATGAAAAACTAACAAGAAAAACGCGTTTAATATTTGTATACATCAAGTCTTATAATATTTATATTAGTGTTGCAACGGTTACGGTTACGGTTACGGTTAATTCACGGTTTTCGATATTATACGGTTAACCGTAACCGTATACGGCATTTACGGTTTTTTATGCTACTTTGTGAATGCATGTAAAAAGAAAATTGAAGAGTATTTAACGTTACCAAATATACCACATACGTACGTCAAATCCTTCTACATTCTCGAAAACGTGTTACACGTTTCATACAAACCATTGTCAGTGAATTCGGAGAGGTTGTTTTCGACTGCAAACACCAAATAGGAACAGGCTGATTCCGCAGAATTTGCAGATGTTATGTTTTTGAAATAAAAATTTGACTCGTAAATTTTGAATATTAACTTTTAATTTTTTTATTTTTTTAAATATATTATTCAGGTACCTACTTTAATTTTTTTAGGTTAAAAATGTTACTCATTTCCTTTTATTTTATAGTTTTATTAGAAATTCTGTTTTTGTTTTACATAAATTATTATTTAACCTTTACTGAACGTGTGTATTAATTTCATTTTGAACAATAAACTTTACTTTTCGTAATTCTGTAATTTTTTTTGAATAACCGTGAATTTATTCGTAACCGTAGAGCTAACCGTAACCGTAACCGTAACCGTAAAACCCGAAACCGTTGCATCACTAATTTATATTAAAAAATTATGGAACGCCATTTTACTATTTAATAACATAGCGCAAATTGTTATCTGAAATAGTAAAACAGCGCTCCCTTTTGATATGTATTTTATAGTTAATAACTATTAAACGAATTCTATAAAACAATATTAAAATAAATACAAAGGTATAAAAAATGCAATCATAGGATGTTGATGGAACTACATTGTGCTACTCCTTAATGTTTTATATATGGGGCATTTCATACCAAACCACCTTTTGATTTTATCTTTTTCTACCCCACAGTCATTCCACGCTACTCGGGAATTTTTGTGGCGTCCGTTACAATAAAAAATTGTGAGTAAAACTACCGTAATTATGATGCTTATAAGTTTAAGCCTAATTATTACAAGCATAATAAACATGTTTGCAATAGTAACTATTGTAATAGTATTTAGTTTAATTACGGTAGCTTTTACTCACAATTTTTTATTGTAACGGACGCTAGAAAAATTCCCGAGTAGCGTGGAATAGCTGCTCATCAAAAACATTTTTCAGAATTTTTTCAATTTTTTTTACCCAACTAAAAAAGTTATGAATTTTTCAAAAAAATGGAACGTTTTTTTTCAAAATTTTGTTTTATATTACATTATGTACTTTTCAGAAAAATATAGAAAAAAAATTATTCAGACCGATCTTGAACGTTTTTTTTTTAATTTTCAGAAATAACGAAAATCTCTGAATTACTGTCATTTAGAACTTTTTGTTTCCTTTTTTTTATTAGAGACTTTTTTCGCAAATTTTCTTAAATTTTGCGAGTAGCGTTTTTTTGTTTTATATTTTGTTTCAATTTAAAAAACATTTTTTATACTCAGCTTATTTCTCATAATTTTTGAGGATGTAGTGTTTAAAAAAATAAATGAAATTCAGTGGTAATCATCAAAAACATTTCAATGTTTATAAAAAAATAGATTTTTTTTTTGAAAATAATATTTAAAAGCAATAAAATGAAAACAAATGGATGGGTTCATTTTTGAATAAACAACAGGCTTTAATTTAATTTTGTGTGCATAATTTGTGATCGAATTTGTTTCATATTTTTTTACAACACTGCTTTTTGTTTGTTTAATTACTTAAAAAAACATAGTTTATTAAATAATCTGTGTACCTAGCTATTGGATATAAAATTATTTTTCATTTTCTTTGTTTTAAAAAAAATATATAAAAAAATTATTCAGAACTATCTTCTATTTTTATTCTAACTTTTCTCTATAAAAGCTTAACTTTTTTCATATAGCCCAAATGCTTAAACTAAATATTAAAATAAATTTCTTTTTTTAAATTTTTATTAAATAGTAAAAAACTAGTTTAATTAGTTCATTTTCTTGATAATTAAGAAAAATTATGTTTGGGTTTTAGGTTTTTAATGAATGGGTAAATAATAAACATTGTAAATACGTAGAAAAATCGTTTATTAAAAATATTTAGGCATTAATCATATTAATATAAAATTGTATAAATAGTTCTTAAATTTAGTTATGTACAAAAAATTATTTAAACAATAAATAAAATAAATACTTTATAAGAATACCACTAAAGATCAAGTCGTATATCTTACCGGTACAAAATTGTTCTAGGAACAAAATCAGTGCGTCAAAGAAAAAAAGTAACGCGATCTGATCGCGAAACTTTCAGTGTAAGAGATCAAAGAAGTAAAGTTTTTTGTAACGGTAAAATGCTATTTAGTGAATCCTAATATGTCACAGATGTAAAGCTTTCCCGACACCAGAGGCCGCCACCTACCCGAAAATTCAGTTACTTAAAAACTAAGTTATTGCGTCTTTTTGTCAATTGTTTTGGGAAATCCCATGTTACTGATGTTTCTTCTCAAGTTAACACCCTTAAAATTGCGTTAATTTTAACAAATGTAATAAATTATCGCAATTTATTTTTAGTGGATTGTTGTCAACTTAACAGAAAGATCACGTAATATCTTAATAATAAATACTGGATAATTATAAATGTTTAAAGCACCAGAGTGTCTATTTAATCTGAACGGATTCAAGCGATGTGCTTTCCGGGGTTGAGCCATTTCTTCATGTAATAACAGAATAAGGTGCTAATGTAAAGTAGAACTAATAAGGCACAAGTGACGCCCAAGGCAAGAACGGATGTCTTCGTGGGACAAGGTTCAATAATTGTTACAGTTTTATCTAAAAAAATAAATAAAGGAAAATAATTAGTATATTATGGTGAAAAGATTATATGGATAATACCTTTACCGAATTCGGCGCTGGATAAATCGTTTTTCAAGAATTCTGATTGTTTTTCATCGCCAAAGTCCAAAACCAAGATTTCCTGACTTAAGGTCATGTCTTCTTCCTTTTCTTCGTCGGTTACATTGTTGACGGACCTCTTCCTTCTGCCCCAGGATTCGATTGAATCACGGCCCCATTCACAAACAGCCTGGAGAAAAAAATGTCAAAATAAGTTCACTATAATTTTATAATAAAATATTTTCACCAAAATACACATATTTAGAGTAGAGGGGGGTAATAGTGCACGTTTTGTTTGAGGTCTCGCGCTACCGTATTTTATAAATTATCCTGCTACATTTGAAGTCTAATTTTCCGGGTGCAGTAAAAATTCCAAAATGTATTGGTAATAATCGGATAAAAAAAAAAATAAACAGACAAATTAAAAATAAAATAAAAACTAGGGATTGTATGGAGCCGCCCATTCAGATTCCTGCTACAGGGGCTTTGCGACACTAGGACGAACGCATTTAAATTTGCCCTGGTAGATGATTTTTTGTCGATTTTGGCTGTACTTTTTTCACTTTTTCATCATTTTTTGCAATGTACCACATTGCCCCAAAGCCCTTCTGTCACGCTGACTTTAGAATCTCGATATTATCAGCTATAACATCCCTGGGACATAGATAATGTACAAGATAATTTTATGACAATCGAAGCACGTTGCTTGTGTTACTATTAGAGATGGAAAATGCTCGAGAATTTATTTTTGAAGAACGCAAATTGAGCACAAACGAGAAAAACCAGAAATTACCGTGAATTTATTAACAGCGTAGCAGAATTAGGCTTAGGCGTAGGAATGTTTGTCAATGTTTCTTATTTTTCTTGTTTATTCTCAATATTCTCGTAAATTTACTGATTCTTCTCAATATTCTCGAGAAGATTCTTAATTTTCTAAGATAACCAGTTTTTTGAATATTTTACAGGCGTTAAACGGTTTAATCGAATCAATAAAAAACATACTAATAACAAAAATAATGAAGTCATCAGTTATACGCTAAAGAAGCATCGGGTTCTCGCAACGCGCGCGTCATCTGGTGGCGCTCGATAGCATTATTAACTATTCGTATAAAAACTGCACATCATTTTTCATTAAATAAGTAGTTTTTCACAAAATATCCTACTCGACAAATTTTGTTCGCAAAGTTTCAATTGCACAGCTAAATCGCGCATGTTATTTATGTTTTGCGTTGAGTTCCCTAAAAAACGCCGACAACTGCATTTTAAAATATCAAACGACAAAATATATTCATGGCAACATAACATATAATATAATCCATAATATAATACCCGTTTTTGTTTTTTTACCATTAAGTGCTTTCTTAATCAACGCTTTTAATAATGCATAACTTTGTTTGAATTTAGACGACTTATTTGTTATGATTTTTACTGAATTGATATGTTTACGATTTTCACGTAAATCATCACTAATATTTGTATTTATTGTATCTAATAGGTACAATTTATGGTTACAGGAACTGTATGCAATTTATTTCTTCATTCGGATTTTTAATGTTCATTGGGAAACGGGTAAAAACTCAACCAAGGATTTCCTCTCGAAAAACACCCAACTACAGATTTTTTGCGATGATAAAGGCCACGTGGTGGCGCTAATAGCGATGCTTTTTTAGCGTATAAAAATGGAACAAAAATTAGTATTTTTAACCACAAATGGTTTAAAGAGGTTTTTCAAAATAATACCATAATTTTTGTCATCGAAAGATGGATAAATTAAATGGTCGCAGTCAAAATGTCAATTTAATTTTCCACACGATTTTTGAGAAATAAATTGCCTAAATTTATTCATTACTTAAGAATTAAATTAAAAATTGTTTAAAACTGTCAAATTATTAAGCACTAAAAATTTTATAACATGTTCATCGCAATGTTGCCACTTTTATTGCGTTTTACCTTTTAGCGATCTAGCATTTTGCCGAGAATTTTCGAGCATAGGCATGGGAAAGTTTATGATTCTGCTACCACACTAGTTACCATGTTACCATGTTGACATAAAATTATGAGGCATTTGTCAATTTCAGGGGGATATTGGGTCAGAAAATGTTTTGATAAACAAATCAAATAACTTATCTTGTAAAACAAAACGTTCCACATAGTCTTTACCGTTATTTCTTTGAATTCTGTGCCATCTTTTTTCCTCATATTGGCCTCCAAATTTTTCAGTATAAATGCCAGTTCCTCTAGGTTTCTATGCTTATTTAAATCATATTTTCGTTCGAAGTAAACCTCTGTAAATATTCCCCACGTTATTTAAATAATTGTGACTGGTATTTTTTGTAATTTTTTCTTCAATTAACGGGTTGAAATATCACACTGCCAAAAAGTGGAATATGAGGTTTTAGGTCTTGGTGTTATAGTGATTGTAAACATCCCTGGAAAGTTATCAGCTAAATGTTGAAATGATTGGGTAATTAGTGTCCGTTAGTGTCACATGACAAAAAATAACAAAATTTAAATGGCTCTTAAAACTATCAAACAATTTTTGTCAAAACAGCACCAGCGGTAAAAATAATTTTATAAAACTTTCAATATCCATTCTAAGTGAATTTTAAGTTTTCTGGTGCGACGAAAGGCAGACAATTTCATTCGTTCCTCTAGTTGGTACCGAAATACAAATTTGTATCATGGTCGGTACTGTCTGTGGCACAGTACTGTACTTTTCTAGAGATATTATGTATAAATTTTGACTTACCGGTTCGCATGGTCCCAAGCAGTATTTGACGTTACATTGGAAGATGACTCCGTATGACTCGGTGAATCTGAAAGCCTCGTATACTGATTGCAATGCGTTGCCGTCTGGGATAAAGGCGGGGAAAATGCTAGGGTCCACTGGACATCCCTCGTCGTCGATGATTTGGAAGGTGCTCTTGGAATCTTTGGCCATGGCGACGCAGCTTCTTGCAAAGATACCGTATGGAGCTACAAATAAATATAATAAAATTAGAAAAAACAAAATTTGCAGTAATTTAGATTAGGGTATTTTCATTGTAACGGGTGCGACAATAACACTGCGTTTTTTCATGATAAAAAAGTTCATATTGTTCATATATATCAAGATACGTTAATATACAAAAATAGCAGATGCGACCAAGTTGGCTTCTAAAGTTGATACTGTACAATTTTGGATGAAAGCGTATAGTAATAATTTTTTGTGTATAGGATGACTCCCCGTTTGAATACTAAATCTTAAAGTTATATCAGAACTGTATTGAATCGTGCTTTGTTTTTATATTTTTCGCCTCTATAGTTAAAGTCAAACTCAATGGTGTCTTACAAGATACATTATTTTGATTTTCTATATTCAACAGAGAAGTAGAAACTCGACCCTGTCGAATGGTACAGTCATTTATGTCTCTAGAAATTATTGAAAAAGGGTTCAGTCCAATGGTGCAACAACTTCGGATTCATATTCTCTTCAGAGACATAGAAACTCAAGCTTTTCGAATTTTACTGGCAATGATTGTCCCCGAGAATTATACAAAAACAGCGAAATGCAATATCGCAACGGTTTCGACTTCTCTTTACTCTACCAAGTTATAGAAACTGTATTCTTTCTAAAACTGTTCAAGTCAATATTTCTGAGTGTATAAAAAGAGGGTGTAATTCAATATTGCAAGAAGTTTTGATCTTTTGATGGATGAAAGTAGTTTGAATATTCTCATTTCTGCATATGATTTTGTTGAAAATAGTTCCTTTCTTTGGTTCCTTTGTTTGATAATTATTTACCGTAACAACTCAGGTATGTAAAGCACAGAGTATATGATGTAAAGTATATTTATGTATTATATAAAGTACCTATATTTGTATTAAAAATTTCAGAGGTTATGTTAAAAAAATGATCGATATGCTATTAAACTTAACATCTGCACATCTCCACTGGTAGTGTTATGTTAGTACAGCAATATTTAAATCTGGTTGATCAAAAAGTGCACACCAGTGAACATAGAGAACATAGATAATATAATAAATATACTGTTTCAGACCGGGCCAGTCACTTTTTCAAACAGTTTCTGAAATATCTGTGTTTTCTAAATTTGAAAGCAAGGGAAGTGACGAGAATACCAGGGTACTAATTAAATACATAATTTATTGGAAAATATAAGATTTATTGCATATTATACATTAAATATCTTAAAATGAAATAATACCACACATCAGTGGCGGCTAGTGAATTTTGGGTTTACCGATATCTCAATTATTAGATATGGGACTCACACCAAATTTATATGAGTTTATAATGGACATTAAATAAACAAGTTCTGCGCAAGCAGAATTTAAATTGAAGTTTACGAAAAAAAGATAACCAAAACATCGAACATGGAACAGACGACACGGTACTGATGAATGGGATACAAATATGAAATTATAATTCGGAATTAAGTATTTTACTGATATTTTTTATTGGTGGATGCTACTTATCAACAAATCACATATAGAATTATATAAATTACAATGAAATATATATACGTAAGAAAATAACTATTCACCGCAGTACTTAAATTTTGACTGGAACTATACGTGCATTCACCACAACTTCGCCGCTTGCATTGTTTTCAAGATGACTGTCGTGCAAAGGGCGGGCTTTGTAGATAATTTTTACCAACACTTGAGTTAAAACGAGGACTTGACGTTTAAACTTTAAACATTGGACACAGAACTGACGGATAAAAGTGAGTATACTCACTTTTATCCGTCAGTTCTGTGTAAGTATACTTACAAAGATTATCAATTTTTTAAATATTGCTATTATTCGAATCTATGATAAAATATAAAATATACATTATTTAATGTTTTATAGTTTGTAGTGAAATTGAAAAATTTAAGATAAATTGAATATATTTAAAAAAAAAATCACTCAAATATTTAATTCAGTATTGTGACACGCCAAGGTACAGATGTTTTGAATATTTATTATGTTTTTCTACAAACGTGCTTTTGAAAAAATACATTAAAATTGGGTGGACAAGTTAAAAAACTGGATCTTTTGTAATATACTAAAATATTTACAAAACATATTAAAATACCTACTGTATTGACTGATGACATCAGGTTGTCCAACTTTTGTAGAATCACCCGTATAAAGTTTTTTTTTCAAGCATAAAATAATTTTCATATTAATACTAGTTCAAAAATCAAATTACGACCTCTATACTGTGGAGAGTATTGAAACGCTCGACTGAAGAATACAACTATACTGTGGCGAGGGTTTAGAAAATGTAATGTTTTAAGGTTATAAATTACGTCGCAATTAAACTATTTGACTTCAGATATAGTTTTTATTTTGTTAAATAATACATCTGATTTTTTGTCAAGGTGGGGTAAGGTTTCGTGGAAATACCCATTATTATAAATCGTTTATAAAACCTACTTGTCAAAATGAACCTTATTTCTCGAATAAGTGTAAACTTGAAAAATTGGGTTTTGTTTTATGTATCTGATAATAAATAAAAATAAACTTACTGTCTTCTGGAATTTCGATTCTGAAGGTGAGTTTGTCTCCAATGCGTACAGTTTCGACTTCTCTGGTGCGGCTGTCCAAGATGCGGATCCTTGGTGGAGGTGCCTCAGGAGCGGACGTGATGCTAATCATCTCGGGATCTCTGCGCAAACAGAAAAAACAAACGTGTTCAAAGGTCATTAGAGTTTATTTTTAGCTTCAAGTCTTATAACAATATTTAATGGCCATTACAAAACTGTATCAAGATACTAGCAGACACATTGCGCTAACAATTGATGATCCCGATACACGCCTAGAAAACATGTTATAAAAATAAACACGATACCGAAGTCAGCGGTGGCCATTTTTTCCACTTATCGTATATCCTTTGTCTAATTATTACCGTAACTAGCCAATTAAATTGGCGAATAACAGAATCTAAACGGCCTACTGAGAGATAATGCAATGCGCATACCTAATTGGCATCATTCCGAAGGTGATGTTCTTTGACGACATGTCGTAAGTACATTTGACTTTGTAGATCTTATCTGCCTTGGTCATAACCACGCTGTGATGCTGCAAGACGACTGTGTTGCTGTAGACGCCGGTCTAGAACAAAAAATAAAACAATTTTAAATGGTCTTTTCTCTTCCAACCGACCCAACAAAAAAATTCGATCAAAGGGATTGATAAAAGTCGTTAAAAAATGTTTCACGAGCTTACACAGATCCAAAACATAAAACCTCTTTTTTTAAACATTACAGGTTTTAATCTTATTATTTTACTTAAGTCAATATTTTCATTATGTAATAGGATGGGTTGAAAACAAAATGTTTGTTTTTTTTTCTTAGCATGGGGGTAGAATTTGTACCTTATAAAAAAAGAAAATTAAAAAAAAAAAAAATTTACTCAACATCTTGAGGTGGCCCACTCGTTTTTTAAATAAATATTTAATCAAATGGGGTTGTTCCAACGGGAAATTTTTTTTTTCGTTCTAGAATCTGTAGGGTGTCCCCTTAAAAGCCAATTGGAAGTCAAAAGTTGAAAAAGTTTTCTTCCCATTGTTTTTGTAATTTAAGTAAAAAATTAAACAATGAAATGCACTTTGTTTTGTATTAGAATGAAAGTTGAGTGAAAAAAATCACATTCAACAATTTTTACATGTTTTCCACGATTTTGTACCAAAAAAAGAATTTCCCGTTGGAACTACCCTATTTCATTAAATATTTATTTAAAAAACGAGTGGGCCACCTCAAGATGTTGAGTTGAGTTTTTTTTCTTTTGAGAAATTTTCTTTTTTTATAAGGTACAAATTCTACCCCCATGCTAAGAAAAAAAAACAAACATTTTGTGGGTTGAAACACCCTATTATTCAACTTATTTAAAAGCCGATTGGTTTAAATCACAGTGATTATTGAAATCGACCAATAACTGATGTCTCAAAACGCGGTTTAACCGCCGCGGTTATAATGGTTATAATTATTAGTGTGTGTTATTTTTGAGCAACTTTTTTTTTCAACTAAAAAACAGGCTAAAAACTTTTAGGAAGGTGAAAAAAGAAGCCTCTAAAAATTTGAGCTCTTTATAATAACATTAAGTGGTGCCTGTACCTAACTTTCCATTTTCCATTTAAATAACATGGAAAAAAAATATTTTTTCTTATTTTTGTATCTTGACATTTAAACATTGTAAAAACTAAACTGAAAAATTATTTTGGTAGGAAATTGAACGCTCTACAAAAAATTACTAATTTATTTTTTCATAGAATAAGCCTTTCTGAAGGTATTCAAACTTGCAAATGTATGAAATTATGACTTTTATTTTATTAAACTAATACTTTTTTATGTCTTAAAAATTATTTTAAGAAAAAACACTTACATCTCTTTGTAATAGTCCCGTCCGTTACGCTTTAAATTATTAATTTTTAAGGAATTAAACAGTAAATCACGATACCTAATTTTGCCAAATAAAAACCTTGTTAAACAGCTTTTGTTTAGAACTATTTATAAAAATTTGACATTGGTAATATAATAGAACAATATTATTTTGTAAATAAAAACACGGCAACTGTCCTATCCGTTAAGCGTGGAATGGCCCTTAATGTTAATATTAAGAGCTCAAATTTTTAGAGGTTTCTTTTTTCACCTTCCTGAAAGTTTTAAGCCTGTTTTTTAGTTGAAAAAAAAGTTGCTTAAAAATGACACACCCTAATAATTATAACGAAAGTGTTTTTATGGTTGTTTTGCGTATTTAAATTGTGGTATATTAAACTACACAAATCAAGCTAAATAATGCATGCATCCATGCATATAAGCCAACTTTATTAGTTATTCTTACCATATTCTATATAAAATAAAAAGAGTGCGTCTGTGTATAAACCCGATCCAATTTATATTTTTTGCAAAAACAAACTTGAGAGTAACGTTTTCATGAATAGATAATGTCAAGTATTATTATAGTGATGCCGAAGAGCTATTAAAGCGAAGCGGAGATGATTCTTTTAGATGACTTATAATACACAGAAAGAGCTCGTTGTTGGGCTCGCGTTTCGTAAAAATTTTTGTATAATAAAGGCTTTAAGATGCTTAAAAATACCGCAAGGTCGATGGGTTTGCGAGATATTAATATTGGTAATGCGAATGGAGCACTAAAAAAGGGTATTGTCCACGATCGTGTATTTCATTATTGTACTAGAAAAACAAAGTTATTATTGTACTAATACAATAATGAATACTTTATAAGGGCTGCGTTGAGGCTAATAATATTGATATTATATTATGTTAGAAGATAAAAGTACATCATCTTACAGGCAGAGAAGAAAGTGCTAAAATATAAATAGTATAGCCGTCGAGGCGCTAGCTATGCTTTTTCTGCCGTGTTGTAAGTAATATTCAACTTTTTTTTTAAACGCATTATAATTCTGTTTACCTTGGAAATGTTGTGACATTTTTTCTCAGGCATTGATGTTTGATATTATAGGTTATGTGCAGGAATTTATTCCACAGTAACCTGTAATTTTACTGTTACCTACATTGGTTTCGAGCCGAATGCGGCAGATGGAACCACTTTCCTATGTAATTTTAGGAACGATTTTGTAGCTAAATTAAAAACGCACTATAATTATTAATTACAAAAATTTATTCTGTCAAGTTATCCATGAAACAAACATTGAAATAAAAACTAATAGTTGCATGGTATACATATTCTTATGCTTAGTTTTAATAAACAAACAACAATGAAACAAAAAATAGGGAACTTCAAAAATTCTCCACAATTAGATTTTTGTTACCTCTAATAATCCACCATTTATTTCAATACACTTTTATATTTGTACCTAATGGCTGCGCAGACTTGTATTACCCTAACCCGTAGTTCATGTGCAGTAGAGGTGACGAAAATAAATAATTTTTTGTTTCATTGTTGTTTTAAGTTTCTATTGCGTTTTTTATTTTTCTAAACTAAGAATAGGAATATTTATACCATGTTACTATTAGTTTAATTCTATTTCAATGTTTTTTTCATGGATAACTAGACAGAATAAATGTTTGTAAATAGTTATTACTGTTTATGTTTAGTTTGGCCGCAAAATCTTTCCTACTTAAAAATGTTTAATACAATTTAGTATGGGGTCGTTTTGAGGGGTTGTGAATAATTATTAATAGTAATAATGGCCAATGTTTTTTATATTAACCAAAGTGTTTGCAGATTTATAATTTCGCATTTATATATACTATAATATTGATTTCAGCACATAAACAATATCCGGTTTACTACATCGAAATAGAATTACTATACGTATAGAATTGATATTACCAATACATTGGATTAAAATTTTTATATTCTCATTCGTTTTCTAGAAAATTTCCTTTTAAGCTGTCTAAGCTTCAAACGTGTTATTTTTCGACTTAATGGTGCGATATGTAGGTAATTCAATTAATTTATCAAATGTTTCGTTTAAATCAATAAAAATATTCTTCCTTTTTAAGTAGATAAATAAATTATTAATAACAATATAATTATAATAATAATAATAATAATAATAATAATAAAAATTCTAATTCTTTGTTCTGTCTTATTCTTTTAATACCATGTCAAAGCACAATAAAAAAGCCTTACTCTACTCTACTTTATCTAGGCGAGCAGACATTTACTTAAGTGTATAGACATAAAAGACTCGAGCAGAGAGTCTGGGGCATGGGACAGCAATTAATATAAGCCTGTGTATCTTACCACCGACTGAGTGTTGCAGTCCTGCCCAGTCATGGTCAGATCCAGTCTGAACAGATCGCTGCTGATAACGTCCACGTTGCATGTTTCGGACCTGCCGAGGGCATAAATTCTTCCGTTGAAAGGCTTGTTCGTACGGACCTGCACCGCGATCCTCGTATCCTTGCAGTTTACGGACACTGAAACAGAAAGTAAACGATGATCATCCCGAGCATCGACTGATTGTCGTAGTTAACAAATTAGCGACGCTGCCGCATCGCTTTCCAACATCTCTAGATGCCCATTAGGTAGCCTTTAGTGGGGTTCTTAAGCTACTATAGTAGAGCCGATAATGCCTAATCTATCTATTTATTGCTGATTATTCCGAGTATTTAGATATCGAAAAAAGGATTAACCAACAAATTAGTTTAATTTAATTGTTAAAAATTAATAAAAAAGATTGATAAAAAGTCATTGACAATCAAAATTTTGTATCAAATTTTAAATTCATTACAATTTCCTTTATAAAAATTGGTAAAAATATGTAGACCAGGGTCGATAATTTTTGAAACCAAAAAAAAATAACAGTAGGATGAAACCCATTGGAAAAGGAGAAGAATATAATAAAAATGAAAGGAAAAATAAATTACGGGCGATCTGACTTCGGGAAGTGGGAGGGGGGGGTTTAAGGGCAAAACTACAAGTCCTATGGAAAAAAGTTAAAAGGCAAAGTTGTAGGTAATAAAAGGATCTACAACTTTTGTAATTTGACTTTGCCGGAAATCGAGATAAACCATTTTTTACCCTTAAAACCCCCCCCTCTTACTTCACGAACTCAGATCGCCCGTAATTTATTTTTTCTTTAATTTTTATTATATTCCCCTCCTTTTCCAATGGGTTTCATCCTACTGTTATTTTTTTTCTCTTTTTACCATTTTTAAAGGCTTCTGCACTGGTCTAATGGAACTGACTGTAATAATAAAAAATAACACAAAATGTTTGATAGATGTCAAATTTTTATGTGTAAATCGAAATGTATCCTTTGAAAATGGACTAACAACACCAGAAATTAAGTTAAATCTAGTTTACTTTTCAAATATTGGCGCTGCACACTAGGAGAAATTTCAAAAATCGCGGACAAAACCTTATTTTGTGAAAATCGTCATAGCAAATTTTAAATTGCGAGTTATAAAAAAAGAAAGCCCAGAGAATATGATTTTAAAAAAAATATTTTTTTATGATAAAATGCCCGCTTAAACTTGCTTAAAAAGTAACATTGTTCGTGCCGTTTTTCAAGCCCATTTTTGTTTTTCGTAATTAATGAAAGGAAATGATGGTATATTTTACCACATTCCTTATCCTTTTTCTTTTATATGAAAGTCTAAAATTACAAATTTTACCAAAAATAACGTTTTTCTAAACCTTTTACCATTGCCTTTCAACGAAGATAAATCTTTTACAAACCAGAAGATATTTCTTTAGGTGTGTGTTGGTGTGAGGCAAAGTATTTGGTACCAGAACGTTCTTCAAATTTTCTTTTTTAAAAGGTAAAAGAATTTAGCTGCCTCTTTTTGCCTGTTTGGTCAGCAGGATATGGAATATATCCATGGATTTATCATATTAGTCGATTATTTATAAGTTATCATAGTTCCCTTTTGTCAGTTCTAAAACGTCAGTTTTGAGTGACAATCAGTCATAATAATAATAATAATAATAATAATAATAATAATAATAATAATAATAATAACGTTTATTGCCCAACAGTACAAAACCAAAAAGGACATTCAAATTAACAGATAAAGTTTATAATATTTTTTAAAGAAAAGTGGTAAATATCACACATTACACAAATACTATTAAAGTTGTTGCACATAACAAAAACTGGTGACTTAAATAGTAAATTAGTATTTGCTCTGGGATCGCATCGTGTTTTTGTATATTATTAAAGCTTTATAAAACTTTAAAGTACACAGTGCAAAAATAAAATGAAACAAAAAAAAGTTACATTAATTAGCAGAAGTTATTTTACAAGGTAAAAACGTATTTATCAGTAAATCCTCCGTTAGGTTAGGTAGGTACATGGATTTAACCGGTTTTACTCTAAAATCAACTTTTAAATGTAATTTTTAATCTATATAGGGTTTTTTGGGCCAATTCACTTTAATAGATAGAAATAAAGCTAAAGGTGCGAAATTGACAAAGAAAAGATTTACCTAAAAAAATGAATATAAGTGATTTTGCTCGAATGTGCCATAATTGTTATTGTTTTTTGTTTACTTTTCTATTTTTAGGCTAGGTAATATTGCCTAATCTATTTGTTTATTAATTTATATTTTTGAAGAATTGAAGATCGACAAAACCGAACTTTTCCAAATTGTTTATAAAAATTTTGTGACTTTTTGTACATAATTAAAACATTTTATCATTATTAATATTTTAGCATTAATTTACTACCGCATAAACATTAAAATTAATGTGTCCCTAATTTTGTCCGCGATTTTTGAAATTCCTCCCACTGTGCGCTGAGAAACCATTTAATACTTTTTATTTTTGTATTGAGATAATAAAATAATGTTTCCATTTAGTAGTATTTTACTAGAAGATCACTTTATTTTAACGATTGGGTGACATTTGACAACTGTCAACTAACTTCAGCCCGTGACTAAAAACCTGTTGCTAACTTTAGCCCGTGACCAAAACGCCATAAATCCACAACTTCTCATTTTTTTTGTTTAATGGTATGTGTTATGAAAAAATGTACGATAATGAGCGTTATAAAGGTAGGAGTGGAAAAAATTATTTATAAAACAATAAATTATCTGAATTATCACAAATTTGTTATCGTTAAAAAATTGTAATTTTTTTAAACGTGATTGGAATAGTACTTTATCGACTAGGCGAAGAAAGCACATATTATCGCCGTGAATATATTTCATTGTGCAAAGCAATTAATTAATTAATTAAAGCTTTTTTAAAGCTATTTTTTTCAAGCATTTAATAAAATAATTTCTTAAGATTCTGTCACATCATTTTTATGTTAGGTTTAACTGACATGATAAGCTTATTTCTGTACGAAGTTTAATAATAATTTGACTTTTGATTATTAAGTAAGTAAGTATTAAGCCATTTTACTCCTCTTTTATAATAAATATACCTTATTCTATCAGGGCTGTCAAATGACAATTTGAAGGTTAATTTGTGGGTTATAATTTAACCTTAAAATTGACATTTGACAGTTTTATGACAGCCCTGATAGAATAAAGTTTATTTTTTACAATAGAGGAGTAAAATGGTTGTTCTTAGCACTTTAAGGACTCTTTTAAGGGTTACTATGAGAAACACAACGTTTAAAACGATTATTAATCTGTATAAACCCAAAGCACAAAAATTGTAAACAACAAAAATGGCCGCCGTTAAACTGTGAGGATTATGGTTTTATCAATAAAAAACTTGAATGAAAAAACTGTTTTATTTGTTTGTAAGATTATTAATAAAAATTAAAGTAAAAAACCTATTGGAAATTTACATTAAATAAAAATTACAAAAAAATTTAAAATTTATAAAAAAAAAACTTTACAAACCAAATTTTATATGAAAAATAGGTGATTTAATCTGTAAATTTGACAATCTTGCAAATCGGTGAAATCAGGTAGGTACCGAAAGTTAATAGTTTTACGCATTTTTTATTAGTAAATAAAGATGATAAAAGTAATATTATGATAATCAAGTTTAGGATTATAAATTAAAATATAAATAAAAAATGAATTCTTCTTTTTTTCAAATAGAAATTACAAAATAACTTAAAATATTTTAAGGCTTTTAAAAGTAAATAAAATTGTGCAGGACCCATAATAGGATTAAATAAATTTTCAAATCATTCATAAAAAAGTACAGGGCGACATTTTAAGTGCAACAGCAAAGTAAGCAAAACTTATTTTTGTGTCAGCAAATAAGGCAAACAATTTAATGTCCCATTTGCTTGCGATATCAAAGTAAAATAAAATTAAAAACACTCTTCCTCCGAGCAGGAACTCGCGCTTTATTAAGTGCACATCATTTCACAGTGTTTGCTAAGTTTTATTAAGGAAATTGCTACTAAGGCAGGAAAACATATTTATTAAAAATCTCCATTGGTTTTGTTTTTATGTACTTACTTGATGCTGCTGTATTTTATCGCAAAAACACGACGCCTTTCCGTGCAAGAAATAAAGTATTTGAATTCCTTAGTTATTATGCATGTAGAAAGCTACAGTAAATACATATTTTCTTTAAATGGCAATATTGCCTGATAATAAACCACTTTATTTAACCACGTGGTTTCTAATTTAACCATTATTAAAAAATTATGGCCTAATTAGGCCTAATCTATTGGCAACAGGTTTTTAGTCAAGGGCTAAAGTTTAGTTGTTAGTTGTTAAATGTCATACAATCGGTAAAATAAAGTGCCTTTCTTTTAAAATAATACTAAATGGGAAAATTATTTTATTATCTCAATACCAAAATACAAAAGCATTAAATAGTTTCTCAACGCCAATATTTGAAAAGTTTATATGAACATTGTACTGACCTTTTAATTTCGCCGGCAGTACACATGATCAAAATTGTTGCATATTTTTGTATTTTAATTTTCGCTTTGTATAACGCTTTGTATAACGTTCTGTCTTTGTTGTTTTGGAATACATTTTCATTTAATTGTTATAATACGTAAAATAAAGAAAATTTAATAAATTTAAGTATTTTTGTAGGAAATAATAAAAATAAAAGTTTCGGAACCAATCATCCTTCTCGAAGACGATAGTTCAGACGAGGATGATGACTTTGACGACAGTATTTAGATAAATAATTTATTGACAATAAAATACATAGTGTACATTACAATTATAAACAATTTTGAGAAAATAATCACCTTCATTCTATAAATAAAATTTATATTTAAAATGTTTTTTCACCTAAATTGTTTCTGTTAATAAATTTTTTTCACTTTTTAAAAATTACATTTAGTTTTATTTTTAATATTTCCTGCAAAAATATATAAGTACTTTAATATATTATTTTTTTTTATTTTACGTATTATAACTATTAAATGAAAATTTATTCCAACACAACAAAAAACAGAATGTTATACAAAGCGAAAATTAAAATACAGAAATATGCAAAAATTTTGATCATGTGTGTAGATATAACTTAAAGTGTTAATAAAACATTTTCTTCAGTTTTACTGTGAAAAACTGTTGTTTAATCCATTTTCTAGGGATACATTTTAATTTATTTTAGTTTATAACACATACAAATTTGACATTTGAGGGTAACACAGATGGCGCTCTTTACAAATTTGATTTAAATCATTTTTAGATAATAATAAGTATTTGTCGTAGAAAAAGTATAGTATGCAACTCGTTTATAAACTCGTGCCTAAATTAAATTCGTGTCTAAAATAGCGTTTATCAAACTTGATACATAGGTAATATGCCATTATGTGGATAACGATACATTTTCCAAATTTTATAATATAACTTAATAATAGTTTAGTTAACGGTAAGTAACCAATACATAAAAATAAATATAAAACTTACAAATATAAATAAAATATAACGTGGTTCTAAACATATCTGTAACCCAGAGCCACACTGTATTAAGTCCACTTTTTTTTAAACCATGTTATAATTTTTTTGCCTACGTTTATCCGCTCTTACCAATGGTAAAGAAGTTTAGGTCCTGGCTTCCTTAGTTTTTGATATATCAGATTAAGTACCAGCACTTAATCGTGTTTACCATTGGTTTGGCTCTGGGGTAAAAATCATGAATATATAATAATAATAATATATTAGGGTGTGCCAAAAAAACTCGATATTTCTTTTTTCTTGCTCTTCACCCAAAATGTCGTAGAATAAAGTTATAAAGTTATAAAGTGCTCTTTTAGTTCCACCCTTACATCTAAACTAAGATGTCCCATAAGCCAACTGAATGGCTTGTGCGGGTTAGGGGTAGGAACGGACCGACGGCTTAAAGTCCCCTCCGAAGGACTATAAATATAATATGTCCGAACAAATATCCTGTTAAAAGCGGAGCTCATAATTTCAATTTTAAGAGGTCCTCCATCGAATCTGAAGTTTTGCCGCTTAAATAGCACAGAAAACTGACTTTTTTACCTTATTTATTCTTGCAACCTAGGAAGAAATTTTTTGTTCATAAAATTCATGACCAAATCTTACAAAGCATTAAATTTGGACGAAAAAATCTTATTAAGCCAAATTTCTATTTTCATTTATTGATTTTTTACAGAGCTTTAAATTTAAAATTTTATGTTTTTTGCCTTTTTCAGCTAAACTATTGAAGTTAGATGAAAAAGTCAAATGGCAATTTTTTAGCTTGTCTGATGGACCACAAAAAAGTTTTGGGCGAATTTTTTGTATCGTCAATATTCTAAAAGTTACAGGCGTATAAAGTCATCATTTTTGTATTATTAATGAATATTAATGTAATATTTTTAATATAATTTTTTGTACAATAATAGTTAGTAAGATATTATTATTAGTATTTTAAGCGATAATTCACTGTAAACAATGGAATAAGAAATAAAATTATTATAATATTTTGTATCTATTGTCAATTGTTTATCTGATTTACGTAAAAAACCATCGAAATAAGCTTAAATAAGTCTGTAACTTTTAATGGTTGACAGTATATCAAATTTTATTAGGACAATTTTTCCGAAAATTCAATTTTTTTTATAATTCTCTATTGACTTTTTGTGCTAACATTAATATTTCACTCACAAAAAGTTAATAATACAAAAATGATGACTTTATACGCCTGTAACTTTTAGAATATTGACGATACAAAAAGTTCGCCTAAAACTTTTTTGTGGTCCATCAGACAAGCTAAAAAATTGCCATTTGACTTTTTCGTTTAACTTAAAAAGGCAAAAAACGTAAAATTTTAAATTTAAAGTTCTGTAAAAAATCAAATAATGAAAATAGAAATTCGGCTTAATAAGATTTTTTCGTCCAAATTTAATGCTTTGTAAGATTTGGTCATGAATTTTATGAACAAAAAATTTCTTCCTAGGTTGCAAGAATAAATAAGGTAAAAAAGTCAGTTTTCTGTGCTATTTAAGCGGCAAAACTTCAGATTCGATGGAGGACCTCTTAAAATTGAAATTATGAGCTCCGCTTTTAACAGGATATTTGTTCGGACATATTCTACGACATTTTGGGTGGAGAGCAAGAAAAAAGAAATATTGAGTTTTTTTGGCACAGCCTATAATATATATTTATTACCCAAAAAATTACAAGTAAATCATTATTATAAGTAAATAAATAAATTTAATAAAGAGAATAGCTCACATTTCCAAAGATTTGGAATCTGTTCTCCCGCAATCCCCTGCTTATTACATTCTTACTACATTAGAACGGTTAGAAACATTAAACAAACTATATTTGGTTTAAAAGTTACTTACCATCGTAGCAAGTGCCAGTTTTGTCGCAGTTAACATCGGCTCTGGTTAAATTATTCAGCGTTGGATCTTCTGTGGCTTCGAACACGACGGGCAGCGTATTATCTGATGGGGCGCCCGATGGTGAGGATGGAGCGACTGGCTCTAAAAGATACACATTTGTGTTCAGTTTTATCTATGTGGGTAGGTAGGGTGGTGTAAGACCGATTTCACCTTTTGTTTCTGAATTTGGCATACCTACCCAAAAACCCCTAAAACGATAATTTTGTAATACAATTTTATACAGGATGATCAAAAGGCAAGGTCAAATTTGAAAAAAAAAACAATATTTTTAAACATGTTTAAAAATATAAGTACCTACACACAAAACTAAGCGAATGTGTAGTGCTTGAAAAAAATATTTTATTTCCAAATTTGACCAACCTGTATACAATTTTATTATACAATTATCGTTTTATTCCAAATTCAGAAGTGTTAATCGTTTTAAATTTTAAACATTGCCCAATAACTTTAGAAGTTTTTGGAGTTTTTCTATTTATCATAGAAAGCCATGGGAATGACATATTCGAGTACTACAATCTAACAACATTTTTTTTAAATCGAATTATTTTTTAAATAAATACCGATTTGTTGCCAATCAATATGAAACACACTGTATATGATATCAACATCAACAAAAATTAAAGAAAATCGTTAAAATCACAGGCGAGGGGTGAATAGCATACACTGAGAAAAAATGGGACAAATAAACTGCTACACAGTTTATTTGTCCCATTTTATTATAATACTTTTTATTAATAGTGAATAAATTGTTTATTACCTCTAAATAGTCGAAATAATAACGATAAATTTACTTTAGTAAAACTTTATGTATCAGGAATAAAAATATATTTAGGATAAATAAGCAATGCTTCTGTCCCATATTTAAATATTCCTTTTATTTGGGAACCATAAACTTTTTTCTCAGTGTACGAATTAACGGCTAAGAAAAAAAATAACAAAGGTTGTCATACGCAACTGTACCTACCTAAGAAAAATTTCATATTAATAAGAATTTTTCCTTATTGGATTGTGGGATTACCCACAAATTAACCTTAAAATTGACATTTGACAGTTTGATGATCTGACTCACTTGAGGCTTACAAGTGCCTCTGTAAGAAACAACGTTTAAAACAATTATTAAACTGTATAAACAATACAAACTCAAAGAACAAGAATTGTAAACAACAAAAAAATGACCGCCGTTTCCATATAGCACACAACGTCTTGAAGATGTCTTGTGTATTATGCCTAAAGATCTAAAAAAGACGTATTTTGAGAGACCTCTTAAAGATATCTTCATTTAATGTTCTAAAGACATCTTGTAAATGCCTAATACCGCCGATTATTTTTTTTTTAATTTTTTGAAAAAATAGTAAATTTTGACAAGTCAAAATTGAAATTAAATCCCATAATCAGGCACTTCATAGTAAGATATAATTAGGTACCATCTTATTTTGGTGTAATGGAAACAACATTAATGTGGGATTTTTAGTTTTGACAACGATGATGGGTAGGGTAAATATATATCTTTTATACATTTTTGTAAATTGGTTATTTTTCCTACAATTAATAATATCCATTTGTAATAAAAACATTATAAACAAATATGTCATAAACGTCCGAGTCCGACATCTTTAAGATATCTTTAAGATGTCTCTGTGCTATCTTGGTTCGAGTGATTTTAAGTATGCGCGAAACGAGATAGAACATACCTTGTGGTATGGATTTTGGTTGTGCTAATAACACTACCCAGATAGCACAAAGGTATACTATGGACGTCCAATGGACCTATGCTCGTGGACGTCTGTATGTACTTAGGATGTCCATTTTTTTTCTATGGACGTCCCATGGAATGCCTTTTAGAGTCCAGATGTCACAACTTTGGACATCCATAAGTCGTCCACCGATGGACGTCTATAAGGTGTTTGAACCATTCCTCCAGCATCCAGGACCTGCTTTTTTGCTTACTTCAACTGTTTTTTGCGACTGTATTTTCATTGCGATGTTGCAGAAAATTTTCTACAACATGACTGAAATGCCTTTTGTCTGGCTCCGTAACAATCCCACTAGGAATATAAATATTCTAAAAGTTGTTAAAAGTTACAGGAAATCCTTGTATTCGACTCAGGAACATTACATTTGCAATACTACAAGTGTTTAACATTTCATTGATAGCTTAAGTCCTTTATAGCACGCGCTTGCTTGAATGTCAGTGAGATTGATCATAACTGTTGTTATGCAGCCAACAATACGTTTTAACTTGCATTTCTGTAATAATAATTATGGACGTATGTACTAAATATTTTTGACAAATTGCCATTTTCATTCGGATAAATTTCATCCTCGTGGAAAGGGCCAACTTTCTTAATCGAGCTATACTATTCTTTAATAGAAACTTTTTTAATACTCGTCTTATTTCTGAAGCACAAATTTGCAACAGTTGGTGCGCACTCTTGGACACCCTTACTTTAAAACGTGTGTGATTGTGCGCTACAGAAGCGTCGAAATGTTTTATTCATGTACGCGTTCTACCCGTGGATTTTTCGCCGATACCACTTTAATTGCGCATTATTTTACGCTAAGAGACCGTGTTTCTATTCGAGCGGAGAGTTACGACTCTCGGGAGGGGGTCCAGTCCTAAGACCTAGACTAGGACTTAATCGCAATTATAGATATCGATAAACGATTGGAATATGTAAGGAATAAATTGGAAAGAAGAATCGCTTACAAATCAGTTTTTTATTTAATCAAAAAGAAAAAAGAAGACATATTTATATTTTTGCCAGAAATAAAAAATGCAATAGTTTCTAACTATGTATTCTTTTGTCTGTAGCCTTTAAATCCCACAACCTATTAAAGTAGTTACAATTTAGCAGTCTCAACTTTATCAAGCTTCTTAATATTAAGCTAGTATGGTAGTAAATTTTCATTAACATTTACTACGGAAACCTTACAGATTAACCAATAAAAGCCCCAAGTGAGTACGTCTGGGAAATTAGTTTTATAGTCTATTATCTTGCATTTATTTTTGCTTGATTGCTTTTCTTAAGAAATAAAATCATTTTTTTATCCCGGAAATAAGATTTTTTACCAATACAAAACTTTCATACTGCTCTTTCCATTATATGAAGCTTATTTCTTATTGTTGCCTTCTGAACTGAGTCGCATCGATTCATTTTGCATTGTTCAACATTTTTCTCTTTATGCGCACGTACTTCCATATTTTTATTTATTGCGTCGCTAGCTCTGGCGATGATAGAACTTGCCAATGTTCAAAGCGTTTCCCTTTCTTTTCAATTCCCAGTTGAAGGTTGTTTATTATTATTTTCGTCGTTTTTGTTATGAAATTGCTTCACATGCATATCAATATTTTATCAATAGAGAAGTTGCCAATCGAATTTCAATTAAACTGTTTTTTAACGTAAGTGGAATAGAATTGTACTTAAACTATAAACTATCTTCACTATGTCTATATATATAATATTTCGGTGTAAAGTTACCAAATGGAGTGGTAAAATCATTTGGTGTTAATATATACACTAAAATTGGTCAAAAATATTAAGTGTATTTTAAATTGTGGTAAAATTCATTCGTGTTAATTTAAATTCATTTATCACAGCACCGTGTCAATCTAGTGTTAATTTAAAGATAAACTCGATGCGACACTATTATGTGTTGACAGCTACACAAATTGTGGTAAAAAAAGTCACGTAGTCATCACCATTCGCTAACGGCAAGAGCGCGATCAGTATTCCGAGTGCAGTTGATGGTAGTGTACCCATGCATACTATTTTAATTTAAGACCATGGTTTTTAAATTAAAATTCAGTGGTCTGGTGAAGTGGTGCAATGTGACAGTGGATGCAACTTATGTTTTTTTACCTGTTATTTTTAAGTGAAATAAGAAATTTAGTAATAGTTTAAGTTTTTTGAGCTAGTGAAAAATCATATTTAAATTATATACCTATATAAGCTAAATATGGTTTTGCACAAACTGGAAAAAACTTAAAATATAACTACTTTTCATTCAATTAAAAAAAATATTAACACTTCTTGGGTATAAGAATACTTACACCTAAGTAGTGTTAATCATTTTTTTTTAATTTTATGCCAAAGCCTATTTGTATTCCTATCTAATAGTTTGTAAGTAATATAAAATATACTTTATTTTACATTACATGCTGTGTTTAATATTAAATCCCCTACCTGTGTAGTAAATTACACCAAATTGAGCATTTTATACTCTTGAATGGAGTTCTTTTACCAATAGTGCGTGTTAATTTTACCCCTAAGAGTTTATTATATTTGATAATTTTTACACTGCTACGAGAACCAATTAAAAAGGGTAAAATTTACCAAATTGTATGTGGTTAGATATACCATTACTACTAAACTTTATACTGTGTACAAGTCTATTAAAATCGCATTTAAAAAGTAAAAAAAATCAGGCGTTCTCAAATAATTTGCAAAAAACTGAAAACCTGTCGAAACACATACATGTATCCATTTTTATCCAACTTTTTTCGCCCACTAGATTTTGAGTCATCACCACCTTCTTTTGTTTGTTCCTATGGCCGCCATATTGTAATTTTACATGGTTATATAAAAAAAATTAAAGAATCCAACGATGCATCAAACTATACAAGTTATTGTAAGATGGTGGTGGTAACTCAAAGTATAGTAGCGAAGAAATTATATAAAAATGTAGAATAATATGTACTAGGGTGGTCGTTAAAAATTAAATTTAAATTTTTGTCTATTGTTATTTCGATTAACTATTTTTTATTGATTTGGGTTCTATAATTGTTTATATTTCAAATAAAATTTTATTTTTCATAAAAAATTTCCAAAAAACATGATTATACCAAAAAATTAACTTAGATCGTCTTGAGGCAATTAAAAAAAAATTGTTTTTTTATCAAAACGAAGCTTTTTAGGGGGCGTCGCAAAAAATTTAATTTTTAATGACCACCCTAATATGTACGTATGTATGTATCTATCTATGTTAACATGTAAAACTTACTTTTTTTAAATTCCTTTTAGTTTTTTTTAATATTTAGTAAACCGCTGCTTTTCTTTAATTTAACGAACCTTGTAGCTTGTCAAATAAAAAAAACATATTATGTATAACTTATTAAGTATTCTGGATAACCCACAATATTTTTTCAACAAATTATAGAATTCTTTAACAAATTGCACATTTGTCGAATATATACAATAAAACATACTATTGTTTATAATAGGTATATTCTAACTAGAGGCTGTTAGATTTAGAATATTTCCTGAAACCTTAACACCAAGAAAGGTTGAAACCATTAAAGTGATTACAATTTAGCAATCGCGCCTTTGCGATTCCATTTTGCACCTGCTTTTAGGTAAAATTAAATTTAGTATCTGTGTAAATTTCCTTTAGTGCATTAAGAAAATCAAGATTACCTGACCAGAAAGCTTAACTCCTTGAATTAATTGATCCCATTTTTAAATTAAAATGTTAATTCAAAAAGTCTTGAAATCCATGTCCAAAATTGTTTCTGACCAGAAAAAAGCACATGAAATACTATTTTTTTTAAATTAGCTGCCGACAAAGATTTTGAATTTAATTGATTATATTACAATGGTAATTTCAGTACAGGTGTTATATAAAAAAGATTTATATCAGAAGTTATTAACCAATCAGAGCAATAGCAATCAAGGGTGCGATGGAGAATGCTGTGCTCTGATTGGTTTATCATTTCCGATAGAAAAATTTAAAAAAATGTTAAAATACTTTTAAATCATTTTTTGCCAATAAAAAGTAAAACATGACGACTATGTATTGCAAAACAAATGGCTTTCAAGCGAATTTTTCAGTCTTGTTTTTCATATTTATTCTAGTTATTGGAAAAATGTTTTACGATCTCTATTAATAAAACCGCTGATAGCCAAGTATTGCAAGAGACCGGACTGGCGGTATCATAACTCAACCGAGGCTTCGGCCATTGTTTGCTGGCCCCGGCAACACAATAAAGCGCCGAGTTGCACATCTAATGCGTATGTGCTTCATGGAGAAGTGATCGTAAAAACAAGCTAACCATAAAATACGCTGGATTTACACAAGTTCATTGCACATCCGAGATCGCACTGGATACATTGTTATTAACTATTTAATGATCGCCATTATCGCTATCCTGGCACAGATCTTTAGACTATTGATATTTCCAAAGTACATCAAACTATACAGTAAATGCATCATTAGTAGCATAGATACAAATGCAAATCTCTTTTATTGCATATGGAATATTTTTAGTCCTGTATGTTTTTAACGTTTAATGCATTGTGGAGTCGAGAGTCAGGACCATAAACAGCAGTGTATGGTCGGGACAATATAATTGGTAACAAGAATTTTAAGTAAAAATCATGAAAGTAACGTATACGTACGTATACCTACTCAAGTAAATTTATCTAAAAGCACTTTCCAGGTGCAAATTGCGATGTCATTTTGCAAAGCGCAATTTCTAAATTGTTATCACTTTAAACTTTCTTGCTGTTCCAACTAACAGAAAATATAATAAATTGAATATCCCTAATAAGTAGGAAGATACTGAAGATTAACATTAAATGTTATTAAAAAAATGTAATGGTAAAAAAGGGGTGCGATTTCAGAATTAAAGGAGAAAACTTACAATATGTAAATTCAGGTTTTTAAGAATCTAATAGAGAAAAATGACAATTTCTATTTTTTTAACGATAAATTTTATGATTTATCTAACATCTAACAGCGACCTTACGGTTCTGTCACGATTGCGGCACGTGCTACACCCCTTTCTACACCGCACTTTTCGCTCTCGCTTGATAAAGTTTCATGCTAAATAAGTGTCTTCTTGACACTTTCCAGGTGCAAATTGCGATGTCACTTTGCAAAGCGCAATTTCCAAATTGTTATCACTTTAACCTTTCTTGGTGTTCCAACTAACAGGAAATAAACTAAATTTAATAGCCTTAATAAGTAGGAAGATCTGAAGATGCCATCAAAAATAATAAAAGATGACAGAACATTAAATGTTATTAAAAAAATGTAATGGTAAAAAAGGGGTGCGATTTCATAATTAAAGGAGTAAACTTACAATATGTAAATTCAGGTTTTTAAGAATCTAATAGAGAAAAATGACAATTTCTATTTTTTTTTTAACGATAAATTTTATGATTTATCTAACATCTAACAGCGACCTTACGGTTCTGTCACGATTGCGGCACGTGCTACACCCCTTTCTACACCGCACTTTTCGCTCTCGCTTGATAAAGTTTCATGCTAAATAAGTGTCTTCTTGGCACTTTCCAGGTGCAAATTGCGATGTCACTTTGCAAAGCGCAATTTCTAAATTGTTATCACTTTAACCTTTCTTGGTGTTCCAACTAACAGGAAATAAACTAAATTTAATAGCCTTAATAAGTAGGAAGATCTGAAGATGCCATCAAAAATATTAAAAGATGACAGAACATTAAATGTTATTAAAAAAATGTAATGGTAAAAAAGGGGTGCGATTTTATAATTAAAGGAGTAAACTTACAATATGTAAATTTAGGTTTTTAAGAATCTAATAGAGAAAAATGACAATTTCTATTTTTTTTTAACGATAAATTTTATGATTTATCTAACATCTAACAGCGACCTTACGGTTCTGTCACGATTGCGGCACGTGCTACACCCCTTTCTACACCGCACTTTTCGATTTCGCTTGTTAAAGTTTCATGCTAAATAAGTGTCTTCTTGGCACTTTCCAGGTGCAAATTGCGATGTCACTTTGCAAAGCGCAATTTCCAAATTGTTATCACTTTAACCTTTCTTGGTGTTCCAACTAACAGGAAATATACTAAATTTAATAGCCTTAATAAGTAGGAAGATCTGAAGATGCCATCAAAAATAATAAAAGATGACAGAACATTAAATGTTATTAAAAAAATGTAATGGTGAAAAAGGGGTTCATAATTAAAGGAGTAAACTTACAATATGTAAATTCAGGTTTTTAAGAATCTAATAGGGAAAAATTACAATTTCTATTTTTTTTTAACGATAAATTTTATGATTTATCTAACATCTAACAGCGACCTTACGGTTCTGTCACGATTGCGGCACGTGCTACACCCCTTTCTACACCGCACTTTTCGCTCTCGCTTGATAAAGTTTCATGCTAAATAAGTGTCTTTTTGGCACCGCTGTGGTCCGGGTTGTTTGTTGTGAGAAATGTGAGTAGATAATTATCTTATAATCATTACATTAATTATGTTCAAGCTTTTAAAGTAGATATCAGTTTAATGTTCTACATATATTTAATTGTCCAGTAGATATAATTATTTATTATGGGGGTAAAAGAGGATTAATGTACTAAAAATTGAAATAAACGAAAAAGTGCAATACTTTTCGCCATAACAGTTTTTCAGTCCTTTTAAAATAATATTTCTTATTTATTTATTTAGGTTTACATATTATTAATAGTAATTAACTATAGTACAGCTAGCCAATCAATTTACCAAAAAATTACTATATAATACAGATACTTAAAAATTTACAAACATGAAAATTGGTAAAATTAATATGTTATCAATATCAATAATTTAATAATTAATTTAATTTCTGTAGAATTAAAATTTTATTTCATTTATTTTCAATAAATTGGTACTTTTTTAGTTTTTTTATGAAAATAAGAATAAAAATAAAAGTATAACAAATTTTTTTTTAGTTTTCTTAAAATTTTTATCCGCGCTGGATACAGCTGGATTGATTTTGATCCAGCAAAAATACAGCGTTGTCAGATATTTTAAAGTCGAGGCGCCAATTTTCGAGTGAGATATCGCCCAAAAGCGCCAACAAAATTGCAATCAGCGCCAACCTTAGATTGGTAAAATTTAAATGAAATTGTTGTAACGGTTAATTTACAAGATGCATTCAAAATACTTAAACACACCATTTTAATATTTTTATAGATAAAGACTTTTTTCTTGATAGTAAACAATTTTATTATTATTTATGAAATATGGCCTACTAGCATTCAAAATAATAAGGAATAGAAACTGTTCCTATTCATTATTATTCTGCCGTGCTTAATGAAAACGCCGTAACCAACAATTTTGCGATTTTTGTTTTACGGCATTTTCTACTAGAACAATTCATCCTGCGTCTATCCCCGGTACGTAAAAAACCGTATATATATAGATACGGTTTTTTGAGTACCGGGGATAGACGAAGGATGAATTGTTCTAGTAGAAACAAAAACAAAACAAAAATCGCAAAATTGTTGGTTACGGCGTTTTCATTAAGAACGGCAGTATTATGAATGCTAGTGGGCTATATTTATTACTAATATTATTACTGTTAAGTAACGGAAAGGGGAAAAGTTTGCTGTCCATTTGGAACTCATATTTTAATTTCAATTTCTTTTACTTTAATTCAAATTTTGACCGCACTCACCTCTAATTATAAAATTACATTTTTTACACATATACATTACTTACCCAGTAAGTATATGTGTTTACACTACTTTAATGTCATCTATGATTATTATTTGTGGTGGTCGCTGTTAATATCTATAAGTATTATATACAGGCAGCTGCAATCTGAAGATATATTTTAAGTAAAGTTTAATTCGAAGAATTTCCAAAAGAGCAATTACTTTTTTCAGAAATCGCCCAAATTGCGGTTTGCGCTGTTTATAAAAAAACTAGGCGCAAATTATTTCTTAAAACCGCCCAATTGGCGCTGAAGCGCCAGATTGCAATCTGGTGGTGACTAGGTATTTGGCAAGTTATCACAATACACATTGTTTTGATATCGTGTTAGGATGTTAGGCAGTTTTATATTAGTGTAAATAATGTCCACTTTAACCCAATGTTAAAGCAAGATAAAATAGCACAACTCGAAACAAAATATTGTAGCGTTGGTCAATGAACGGCGCATATAATAGAGAGCCTACAATAAACCAAAAGTAACAATGCAACTTACTCTCGCAGCTGTTCTCGAAATAGCTTCCGATTCTTTCTCCGTTGTCGATAAGTGGGCGCTCGGCGTTAAGATACGTGCTGGGTCCATCGGGAAGCGTCTTGTGATCGAGATGGAACAGCTGACAGTTGTATTGCGATCCTTGCGGTGATCCTTTGTACAGGAAGGAACGGCACAGGAATTCGTTCTCGATCTCGCAGGCCAGGCGGCAGGCGGCTTCGCTCGTCACCTAGAATAAATGGATAATGATGTCATAAAGAGAAATGTCGAAGATGGTGGTTTTTTTAATACACAGAACAGAAATATAGAGGTCTAAAGAAAACATGTTTAATAATTAGATGGTAATAGCCTGATAAAGAAAATTAGTATTTTCTTTCGATGGGTTCGATTTGCCATATTGTGCAAATATCAATTCAAAATTATACAGTTCATTTTTTTTATCTGGACTCGTGTTTTTTTGTTAGGTTGGTGGCTTATGCCAGTTTGACTTAGTATTTTTAGTATTTAGTATTTAGTATTTCTGCTAAAGAATTTAATTAAATACTTTGACACTGTCAAATTGACAATATTTATTATTGATAATTTACTTGTCAATTATAAATAAAAAGATAATTATGCCAAAAATAATAGCAACGAATTGGAATGTAAAAGCCCTTTTGAGGGCAAAACTTCATTTTGATGAAATTATGCCAAATGCCACAATGGAAGAAAAAGTACATCGCCTTATGGACATTTTTGAAGTAAAAAAGTAACGAATTTGGTTTTATAAATAATACATCACACATTATTTTCACATTATTCACCATTGGACAACATTTACGTTCACAAAAAATTTTAATTTCTTTTATATAAATTCTTTTTAAAGCGAAGATTATTATCCGCTAAGAATACTTTCTTTTCTGGACCGTAAAGCAACCTGTATTTAACTACTTTTTTTATATGATTTTACTCATCCAAGCACCACCAAAGCCAAATTAATTGCATTTTTAACTACGAATTCCGACGACTCAACTGCAACTGCACAATGTAAATACAATAATTTATACATAACCACAATTAGATTTATAACTAGCTTAGTTTGTTTTAACCAATGCGACCAACTTGACAACTGTATTTACCAACCAAAACTCTAAATTTGCAACGTTGCCGCAGTCCAGATATTAAAGTATCGTTTTTCATATCTACAGCGATTTTTAATTAAAACTAAAAAAGAAAGTGGGTATGTACAAATCCTTTTAAATTAAGGAATTTGCAAGTTTAATGCCTAAAAAGCATTCTGAATTATATAACAAGTGATGTAAGTGATGAAAATATATTAATGTTTGCCGATGACACAGCAAGAGTTGACCGAGGTAAAAATCTTGAAATGCTGATTTCAACTTTACTTCATCTCAAGAAAACATGTTTGATTGGTTCAATAAAAATGGAATGTAACTAAATTTAACAATAAGTTGTTTTCAAGAAACTTATGATTTACAACCAAATAATAGTATTTTCTTATTGTAAACAACAAGTTACTACGAATAAGAAAATTTTACTTAATACAAGAAAACCTGATTCAAATAAATGAATTTTCTTAAATCAAAAGATTACTTTTCTGTGTGTGGCAGGTAAAAAGTGACCATGGTGCGCAATTGATAATTATCAGGGAATGAAATAACGTATAAAACTTAAACCAAAGGAAACTTAAATATTAGTTAAAAATTCAGATTTAATTTATTACGATAATTATTACCAAACAAGTGATATTTTTATAGAAAAATTATTGCAGAATCGTATAAGAAGAAAAATCGAACAAAATTGATTTTTTTTCGTTACAGCGCCATTTATTACAAATATGAAAAAATGTTTAACACAAAATCTACCTATTTTTAGTCGAATAATCTGAATCTGCATTTTTATTTCAAAGTTTCAAGTTAAATGACTCACCCTGTATACTAAAATCATAAATATTAGCTAACGAGTTCTCGAAAAGAAATTTGAAGAATTCAAAATGGATTTTGAAGAATCTCGTTATGTAACAAACACACTTTTCTACTTTTAAATGAGAATTTTTCGAATAAACCTTATTTGATGAAGATCGGATTTAGTGCATCAAATTGTATTAACTGGTTTCTGATTTAAAAAGTCCGCCATTAACGGTGGAAAATATAACCAACTTGATTTTTTCGAAGACGATCTAAACGTATTTTGCGTTCCCACATTAAGCAGCAAATAAATTAGCGATCTATAGTCAAGTGAACAGAGAGAAAAGCTTGTTGCTTACCTGCAATTCTTTATCGGTGTAATAATGAAGGCCGGCGTATTGAGCGACTTTATCGTCGGCGACTCCGATCCTGGGCGTTTGGAAGATGCGGTTTCCTTTGCAGGCTTGGTTGCCTTTCAGGCATAAATTCTCGAAGTAATCCACTCCCTGCGCGTCAACAAATTGAACAAACTGGCCCGTTGTTCTCCTATCAGTGTCACTGAGTTGACATTGCAAAGTTACGTAGTTGTATTCGACGGAACGGCAGGTGAAACGATGCTGAAACGAACGTAACATCGATTAGATTGAGATCGGTAGATTGTAAAAGTATGTTTTTTTTTTGGATAGATAAAACTTAATTAGATGAAAATTACACTATTTACCCAAGTCCATAGCAAATTTTTTTGAATAGTTTTTGGACTAAGGACTAAGAACTAAGAGCTTCATTTGCTCTTTTATTTGTTGCAAAATTTTAAATTCCAATTTCCTGGTTTTTGATGGGCTGAATTCAAAAGACCTCATAATAATTATTACTCTTATTATTATTTCCAAAAACAAAAAACTCGTTTTGTTGGACCACAATAGTATATTACACTACAAGGGCTCTCACACTTTCTGCCCGTGTAGTGTATTAGTATATTGTGTCTCAAGGGCAGAAAACTAGCTTTAGCAGCTCGCGGCTATTAACTGCCTGAGCGAGCGAAGCGAAGCGAAGCGAGGGCAGTTGATAGCTAAGGGCTGCTAATGCGTTTTCTGAATGTGTGACACACACCTGTTTTTCGCCTAGCATCAAACAAATTATTTTTTTAAATTTTATTAATATAAACGGAATTTTATAAAAAACTTCAGTAACAATTTACGAATTTATTTATTGTTGTAATTAATGTTAATTATGCCTTGAGCACAATTGTGGATAGTACCAGAATTTGAAGGCTTTTTCTACAGATGAAGTTAATGTTTCATTAGAATTATCTTTGATCTTTCCGATAGATAAGCAACTAATACATTTTCTGTTAAGTTTTTGGGTTTTTGATCCTTTTTCCAGTTTTCAAATAATTCATAGCACTTCGTACCGTTGCAACGCATTGTCTTAACAGCTAGCTAGCTTCCTCTTTTTCAAATCTGGTCAAGTATTCGTAAATTTTTCGTCACTGTCCGAGTTACCATTCATTTTCACTTTATTACAAAATTTAAATTAGGTTTTATTCTTATTTTATACTTTTGTTGTCCGTTTTTATTTTGATTTACACAAACGTCTGAAAATCGCAAATGTCAAAATGTTAAATGCCAAAATACATAAATGTTAGTCAAAGGTATCTAGAATGTGAAAAACTATAGGGACGATATGAGTTTAGCGACCCTAGAGACAATAAATAATATTTTCGGTCATATTTTTAGGTTTGATATGATTCATTTTTATATATTTTTTTTAAAATTTCCTCCTTTTTTTTAACAATTTTACATTAGCAAGAGTATTTGTACCTTGTCTAGCCCTATTTGATTTTGTAGGAAAAAGATTTACTTCGCGCTTGTCCAACCATTCTTTTAACAAACTATCATTTTTAAATCGCTCTTTCGATTTATAAGGAAGGAAATTAATTGCAACTATTCTTGCCTCTCAAGATGTTGCGGTAGGTCTTCTTCGCTAGAACTCATTTTCAAAACGTAAGAAGAATTTCAAATTTATGATAAACATTCTGACAGCTTATAAAAACTGTTATGTTTGTATTACCAAAAATACCATAGCAACAAAGCGTTGTCAACATAACGTCGGCGACGCAACCCCTACTTAATATATTATAAATATGACAAACTATAGTTTGTCATAATTTTATAGCCCTATACCGGGTTAGTAAAAGGAACCGGAACGCTTAAAATGTCTTAAAACCGTTAAAAGGTAATAGAAAAAACTATATACATACCTCAGGAGGAAAATCCATTTCCTTCCTTGAATATTTAATGCCCTTCGCTGCGCGTCGGGCATCAAACTATTCGCGGAAGGAAAAGCACTATTTTACTCCCATGGTACGTAAATCTTTTTTTCCACGGAACTTGTTATGTCATCCAAAGATATAATCGATATCGTTAATCGGTATTTATGATTAAAACAAGTTTTATTTAAACTAATGATTTCTCGAACAGATGAATGCATATTAAAACATATTTTGATTTTAAAGGGGAATGAGGAATAGCCTTTTAAATTAAAAAATTACATTTGTTCACTTTTGGGTTAGAATGTCTCAAAACCTGATATTCTAAGGTTGAATTTGTATTCACAACAAAAACCTTCGAACCTGAAACCTGTGTTAATTTTATGGTTAAATTTTTTTATATTATGTTATAATATTCATAATATTTATCCCTCCCATGAAAATTTCTACAAATTTTTAAAATAGACTTACAAAAATGATAACCGTGTTATGGCGTTTTTTCAGATCACGTCATTTTTTTCAGTGCGATCCGATAAAATATTATCCACGGTATTTGGCACATAATATAACAGCTTCGATACAGCTAGATTGTATAGTTTTAAAAAAATATTTACTTAATAAATGGACAACCATTAATATATATAAGGTACATTTTGAAAATATTTAAATTTTATACAGGGTGATGCACATTTACGAAATATATCAAGTGGTGTTTTTTAGGTTGTGATACCACTAGATTCTTAAGCAATGTATAATCGTTAAACTAAAAGACCATTTTTTACAACATATATTGAATATAAGATAAATACACATCTGTTGTATTATTAAATAAAAATCAAAAATTTAAAATAGAAATTATTATTTTTTTATTAATTTTTTTTTTTTTGGTTTTATGTATTTGAAGAAAAAAACTGATTTATAACAAAATAGAGAATTAAATATCTGTATATGTTAATAGTTATTTACGATATAAGTGGGATAAGAGCTTTATTAACGTACGCATGCGAAATTTGCCCAACGAGTGCGTAGCACGAGTTGGGCAATCGCAAAAGTACGTTAATAAAGCGTTATCACACGCATATTGTACAAATTTTTATCTACGCCTCTAAATGAAAAAATAAACGGTAATTATTTTTGTCTAAGACTTAATTTAGGGTTATTTTGACATTTTGACATTTTTACTTTTTTATTTGATTGGTTAAAAGCAGAGAAAAACGCTTGCGTTAATGAACTTCTTATCTCACTCAAAATGAGTGGGATAAGAAGTTCTTATCTCACTGGCGTAGATAAAATAATAAAAAGGGCAGTATAAACAATTTAAATGACGTGATTTCGTGAAACGGTGAGACACAGGTAAGTTTTTTTAACCTCTATTTTCAAAATCTTAAAACGACTCTTGGTTAAAGACTAATTGTCAACATACTTTTGAGAAATCAAGAATGGCTTGGAAATTTAAAAAAACTAATTTTCTCTAGCCTTTTATGTTGGCGACGTCAAAAAGTTATTTAGAAAAGTTGCTTGAAATCAAAATATTGGTCCCTATCGCAAATTTCATAATCCTAGGCCAACTTTGATCTCTCACATTATCTTTTCTTTATTTCATAAATATAATTTTAGTCAAAACAGTTTAAAAAAATACCAAACATTATTATTATAGCTTACTGACTTAAAACTATGTTCTAGACAAAAAGTACAAAAGTGCTCTTGTATAAGAAGTCAAAAACGGACCCCCAGCTTTAAGTCCCCTCCGAAGGACTTAAATTTACAATGGGAAGTTTTTCATGTTAATTTTTTTAAATTTTTATGAGATTTTCTATATTATATATTATATATCTTGTATTTTAACACGTTTCAATAAACACTATTTAATTACATTTTGCCTGGATAATTTAAAAAAGTTTAATTACCTATTTTAAACTAAGCTAAAAAAATATAGGATTTCGAGAGAAAGGGGCGGAAAGTAGGTATAGGAAGAAACCTTCCGACTGCTACACTTATAAGCTATAATCTGTGCAGAGCGACCGAAAATGCCATTTAGGCTTTGATACGAACCTTAATTTTCATTATATAAATATCAAAGAAACAATGAAATCTCGACAATAGATTTTTATTACAGTTGGATCGATTTTCAAATTTTTTTCTTAACTTATTTTGTTAAATTTGCTTTACATATTAATGCAATATTTAGAAATTATTACCGCTTTCCGCTTATTTCCTGAAACTGTATTTATTGCCTCTTTCAATTTATCGTCTTTGTAATTTGTATACAAATTCCCATTTCTTCGTATGATATATCCTATAGCAATTATTGAGTAGGCGTAAACAATTTTTTTTGTTTTCCGTTGTAAAGGTGTGGTGTTGGGCATCGGAATTTGACAATGATATAAGAGATAAAATCCTATTATATACCTGCTAGACTGCTAATTTCATTAACCATAAACTTCCTTGTCGTTAAATTATTTAAAAAAAACTCCAGCAATGCGAGAATTTACAATTTACAAAGTAACTAGGTATTTGGTAGGCGGACTTTTGCTTTTTAATGGTACAAGGTGTCCTAAAAATAGAATATTTTAAAAACAATTATTTAAAATACTTTGTTTCTTTAGAACAAATATTTGGGACACCCTGTATAAACCCTGTAAAATAATAAACCATAAATTGAAAAAATCATAAGGGTTATTTTAAAAAACTTTTTAAATTACAAATTTAAAAATCAAATTTTGTTTTACAAAAGTCATTGATGCGTTTAATTTAACCAAATAATACATTTTTGATTACCGCAAATACAAAAAATTGTCTTCTAGTTCATTCAATCGAAAATTAAGATCCGATGTCGAGCTAGGAATACCTCAAATGTGACCAAATAATAACGCAGTTATTTTAAACCGGATTAAATTGTTGGTAAAATCTTCGCTGGATTTGTAAAAGCTTGTATTTTTTTCCATGGTCTTATAAAGTTTTTGAGTTTTAAGTAACTGATTGTAAATTGACATACCTCAAAAATAAAATATGTTATTAAAGTAGTTGATGTTTTTCATTTTGATTCTTTTTAAAAAGGTTTAAAAATAATAATTTATTTTTATAAGCAATTGATGCAATGAATTTTAGTTTTAAGGGTCAAGTGTTCATAAAACTCCAATTTTAACTTTTTCTTTGGCCTAACTATTAAGGTGGGCCGAATTTTAACAATTTCGGAATTTTGATTTGGAATAGTGTGAAAAAGTTGCGTTTTGGCAATACAAAGAAAATGTTTATTTTCGATTTTTTTGTCAATTTGGTTTTTTCACCCTCTACAGGGGGTTAAAAAATTTTAAAATTTCGAAAAACTGAAATTAGTAATTTTGGCTG